ATTTTTTTTCAAGATTCATTTGTATAAATTATTCTAAAACTAAATAGAATAATACAGGATTTTCTTTCTTTACTCCTATATTTTAGAATACATTGGGAAGAAAACCTTTCTCATTTGTCTATTTTATAAAGTAAAATAATGAGTGAAACAGTTGGTCATGTGTGTATTTAGTCTACCTCTTTCATGTGAAAGACCTAGAAAACTGATATAAATAATCCTTTTGTTTTGAATTACCATGATTATTTGTCTTAACTCTGGCAATATGCATTTGAACACTAATACACAATGTGCTTAATGGGCACACCCCGGTGTAACCTTTTCCTTCTTCACTCCCTAATCCCCCCAATAACACTCGCCTCTCTTTTTCACCATAAAATGAGACTACATTTAAGATATTATAGAAAGGCACTGTTAGTTAAACGTAATGAAAAGACAACTTAAAACAGCAATTTACTTATTTTTAAATTCATACCTAAAACAAACTAAAAATTTGAATGTATAATAATACTTTTCAGTATTTATTATTATTATTGTTTTAATTCTCACCCGGGGATTTTTTTTCCCATTGATTATTTTAGATACAGTGGAAGGGAGAGAGGTAGGGAGAGAGAGAGAAAAAAATATGTATGTGAGAGAGACACATCGATTGGTTGACTCCCACAGGACGTCGACTGAGGCTGGGGATCCAACCTGCAATGTAGGTACATGCCCTTGACTGGGAATGGAATCCACGACCCTTTGGTCCATGGGCTGATGCTCCAACTGCTGAGCCAAACTGGCCAGGGCTCAGTATTTTTTAATGCCATTTTCTTTAGATTAATATTCAATGATTCATTATCCAACAAAAATTAAAAGATTGTATCTACCCTGTGCCAAACACTGATGTTGGCTCAGGAGGCACGGCAGTGTACAAAACTGATCCAATATTCTGTCCATGTGAAGTTCACTCTCTAGTGAGATATTTTAAATAAGACATCAGATGATATGTTAGGAGGCAATTCGTGTTTTGAGAAAAGAGCAGACTAAAGAGACAGAGTGCTGAGAGGCATACTGTCGATTTAAATGGGGGTGGGGGTGGTCAAAGGAGGTCTCTCTAAGAAGATGGATGACATGTTAGCAAAGACTTGAAGGAATCTTTAAATTTTGGACTTCAAATTCACAATTTGACATTAGTATTTTGTCTTAAAGTGTTTATTTTTATTAGTTAAATCATGGATGGACAAGAAAGTGTACCGTTTTTTATTAGAGAGTAACCTCCCAAGGGAAATGATGATATTTTATGTCTTTGTACATCCTGGTGCTACAGTGATATTCTTGAGGTTTCCTCTGTTATCGCCCATGCACATGTCTAGCCCTTTCACTACATGGGCGGGTGTGTGTGTGTGTGTGTGTCTGGGGACATTTATCCATGTACTTCCAGAGCTTTGCATAGTACTCGGCACATGTTGTGACTCGAATGTCTAAACTACCTTGTTAGAATATTCATTTAATTAAACACTCATAATAGAGATTCTTTGTTATGTAGAACTTATATTTATATAATCTTTTGATTCCTGACCTTCTACAAGAATACCTATTTCTCTTTATTAAAGTTTCTTTTGCATTTTCAGCATTTAAAGTACCCCCATGTTCTAGCAGTTAGCCCTTAAATTATAACTTAATATTATAGTCTAATTTCTAGGCTACAGACCTCCTTTTGCTAGGACGGAGGCTACTAAAATACCTTATGATAGCAACAAGGTAATTTCTTTTGGATTTGTTGGAATGAAATAGCATTTGGGGAACTGTTAGCCAGAAGAGAGGATTCCAAATAATAGCTCTTTGTTCAGAGTTCCTCCATCAATTCATAGATAAGTCAATTGGCACTCATCATTTCAAACTCATTGGAGGCCAATGTAGTTAAGTGGAACATAAAGGGTACTGTAGGCAATAAACAGAAGCCTTGTAACAATATAGTGTGTAGTTGGAAGGAGGATTGGAAGGTCTATAAAAGCTGCCAAAAAGAACAAAAAATATAATTAAAGGAGCAAAAAGACATATGGACTACAATCTCAGGGACTATTCCGGGCACCTGTAAATGTCTCCTCAAATATATCTTTAATAGGTGGAAGGCAAAGTTGAAAACCAGTCCCAAGGAGAGAGGAAGAAAAATACCAAATCAAATTGTAGAAACAGGCTAACAAGAGTTAGATTTGCTTATGTTAATTTTTACCTTTCTTTAAAATAATTAGGCAGTGGCTAACCCATAGATCAGACTATTTGAAATTCTTAGATGAGAAGAGTATAAAGTAAAAAAAACAAACAAAAACCATATTAACAGAGGTAATATTTTAGGCAGGTACAGCTCAGAGTAGGGTGAAAAAACTGGTATATAAAAAACAATTGAAATTTGCAGTTAACACACAAAGTTTTTGAACTAAGTACAATTATTTTAGGTTCTATCAAAGTTACATGTTATTTAAGAAAAGGTTTTCTTTTTTCCTTCTATCTTATGAAAGCATGTAGGTTACGCTTGACTTCCTTGAGAAGACAAAATAATAGAATCAGTAGAAAATATTTTTTGACAGTAAATTTTCATTACTTGGACCAAAGGGTTTCACCTGGTGAAACATGTCCGAGTTACCTGGGGAATTTTCCCGGTAAACATGCCCTATTGAGAACCATCACTACAGACATTTGAAGAGTTTATAATAGTCTTTGGAAATATACTGAGCATTACACTCTTACTTCCGAAAACCATCAACCTTGGTCTTGAATCATAAATAAACAAGCAATAGTTGACAAAATAAAATATAAACTAAGAATATCATGTTAGGAGGAATGACGTGCAAAGGCAAATTCTTGGATACGGGAGCAGAACCCAGAACCCCTGTGCTGAGCTGATCTGTGCCAGTGAAGATCTATCATCACTCACATTACATTAATCACTGTGGTTTCCTTTGTGCTGAGTAATTCCAAAAGCTTTCTTCGTTTAGTGGCTGAGAAGATAAACCACAACTATGTAAAGATAAAGTATCAAGCTTGAGATGTCAAACACTGGTTCTAAGGCTATAGATAAAACTTTACCTCAAAGGTAATTCAATATGCTAACAAAAGAGCAAAAATTTTTTTTTTAACTGACTCAGCCCATGTACACCCCCCCCACACACACAAACATATAATGTGCAGTATAACACTTTGTCCAATCTTTCTCTGAAATAGAAACTTGAGGTCCTTGCACTGTACCGCAGATTAAAAATAGATATGCTGACCTGTTGAAAGAAGTATCTCATACATATCAATTTTAACAAGGACTACTAAAGTATGCGTGTGCACACATGCATATAAACAATGGTTAGGCCCATGATGTATTATTGATTTAAAGACTATCAGACTCTACTTTACATTAAGCAGCAATCATTCCACTGTCATGAGACTTGTATACTTGGCACATAGAAAAGGAATTGTATTTCTACAGAGAAGATCTCTATAGGAAAATGTCTTTTTTTTTTTTTTTCTTTTTAACACTTGAAAAGCTGAGTATATGTTATAAAGCTAGAAGATCTTAGAAACAGAAGTCTAGAAATCATTTATGGAGTTTCTGCTGCATACCAAAGTGTGTGTGTGTGTGTGTGTGTGTGTGTGTGTGTGTGTTGGGAGTGGAGGTGAGTGGCAGGATACAAAAGAATTAGACACCATGGGTCCAGTCCTAAATATGGAAGGGAAGGAAAGTAGAGAATTAGTATGTTTTTATTTTCAATGACCACATTTAGTCCTTGTAGTAAGAACAACAGTTCAGTAATCTCCCTTACCTCAATTGTCTCAACTCATAATCAAACTTGTTTCTCTATTACCCTACTTATTCTCCCAATCTCTTTCGAAGCAAATCTCAGATCTCATGTTATTTTGTCCTTAATCATTTCAGGACTTCATTGTATATTTTTAAAACAATAACTCTTAAAAATATAACCAAAATACCATCTTCTATCTTAAAAAATATACTGGATATTATTATGCAAATGTTCTTAATTACTCCATAGTTGTTTCTTTTTTATAGTTTATTTTTTAAAGCATGTTCCGATGATTATATCCTAAAGAGTTTCTTACAGAGTCTAGATTTTGCACCCCAAGGTGTGATTTAATGCATTTCTTTCTCCTCAACTTTGTGGACATTGAGAGCTAGACTCAAATTGTTTCAACAATAGAATATAAAGTATTTATGAGGAGTGGATGATGCCTGCTTCTTAGATAAGTTTCTCTAATTGTCCCTCTTCTAAGCCAAGAATTTTATAAAAGCTGTTTCAAAGATTAGTATGGTGAAGTAATCAAATTCAGAATGCCTTATAACTTAAAGAGAGAACCAGACATGGATATAATTAACTCTGCTAAAAAGCAAAAGACAATATACGTTTAGATGCTCCACAATGCTTGTTTTTGTATCAGTATTAACGGAGCATCAAGTTTCAGCTTCTTCTGACCATAAAGCTGGTGGAAGAGACAGCCCTCGGGACAACTCCATCAAACACAAGAGCTCTGTGGAACAGCACAATTTGATAGATAACCTTCAAGATTCCTTCTAGCTCTAAACCTCAGAGTAATGATGAGCTGTATGGTACAATTGAAAATATTTTTGCAAAGTCATGAACTTCCCTTAAGCAATACTTGAGCAAAGCTGGGGAATATTAAGGAGAAAAGGATAGACACATGGCATTTCTGCTCAATGGGAGTATTTCTGCATTGACAAGAACTCGACGAGTAGACTTCGAGCAGACAATGTATCGACGTGCTTTAGTTCCTCCTTTAAGCAGAACAAAATAAAACACCTGCCAGTGACAAGAGCCTTCCATTTGAAGAAAAGTGACAAGTAACAGTAGAGTGACTCTGAATCTGGGTAGGAAGGTTTCATCAAATATACTGTGCATTTATTTTGTCAGTTTGTGTATTGTACCTTTGGGCTTTTTTTCAACTAGCTGTGCTTTCCATTTTGTGTTCTGCTAAGAATCATGAATCTGTTTCTTTAGGCACAGACAGCACACATTGTCCTGGAAGATGGAACTAAGATGAAGGGTTACTCCTTCGGCCATCCGTCCTCTGTTGCTGGTGAAGTGGTTTTTAATACTGGCCTGGGAGGGTGAGTAATGCTTCGACTCCAAGGCTTTATTCTTTCCGGTGTGGAGGAATCATTGGATGGTCCTATGTTGGGACGTTGAAATCACTGCATCATGATAAGACTACCTGCTGTCCTGAGGTTGCAAGGTGCCCGTGCACAGCCTACCGCAGCCATCCCTAAAAAGAGACCTTGACTCAAAACCCCTGCTGAAAGAGAACACAGGCCCTGGAGTTCCCTCCGGGAAAAAAGAACAAAATAATTCTAGAAACACTGGGTGCACGACACAGGGTATGTGAGATTACCCAATGCTTCTGCAAGGCGAGGTGTAGATCTGATTAACGTGAACATTGGAGCCGCGCAGAGGATGGGTAGCATATTCTAGTGCTAGTCTATTGGTGAAGTTAGGAATCACCCTTGCACATCTAATATGAGCTACCCCAAGGAGCTAAGACAGTCCTTAGGTATTTTACACAATTCTGCACTCTAATAAAAAGGCAAAATAACAGATACATTTATCATTTTGATGTATTAAATTGGAGAGCAGGTGCATAGGTCTGATATTTTCAAAAAGTTATCAATTGAAACCCAACTTAGCTGTAAGATCTGCTGAGAGCTGTATTGCATCAGGAATAAGAGTTGCTACAGAAATCCTGTAGCCGTTCTTATCTAGCCAACACGTTTGTTCATCTGAGAACCAGGAGGCTGAAGTTCTGGTCTCAGTTTTCATGATAACTGATGATGTGATATTGAGGAAATCAGTTAACCTTTCTGAATTCTAGTTTCCACATGTAAGTGCTGAGGGGGCTGGATTAGATAGGCATTTACAGCTGGGAATTACAAACATTATGAGTCTTTAAAAAAATGACTTGATGGTCCTGATTTTGGTGCTAATTTACTATATTGTGATTATATCCTGACTTACAGGAATTACTAAAATATTTTTAAAAAAATGACTGGATGGTTTCAAGAGGTTTCCAAAAGACTGAACTATAAAATATTTGATGAATTCCTTAGTGAAATTCAGTTAGCCTTGTAAAGACAAGGAGACATTGGGTTACCTGATATTGAAGATATTGATTGGCCAAACCTCCATGATATTATTAATATACATGTTTCTCTAAACTCTCGGCTCTCTGTTTGAAATGAAGAACATTAGATGGTTTTTTAAATAGATCCACTGGTGAGAACATTAAATTACAGTGTATAAAACCTGTTTGAAAAGTTTTGCTTCACCAGGCAATTATTTAAGCTTTTCGACAGCACTAATTACTAGCCGTGTTAATATACCTGCCAACGAACAACTGTTTAATATAGATCAGAATGATGGAGGGCACTAGAGTTTTCTTCTGTGTGATAGATTATGGGTAATAAATCTTGTCACATCACAAAAGTCAAACAGGACCTGATAGATTAATTTGCTTCCAACGCTGCGGTTCTCTAGGACAAGCTGTATTTATTCATTTACTGGAGAGTATGGTAAGCATATGTTTAAAGAAAACGGACAGTTCTTTTACGGAGAGAAAGAAGAAAGGGAAGCAAAATTAAATTAATTAAGGGTGGTTTTTGATGTAGAATAAGGCACTGGTCACTAAGCTTAGTCCACGAATCCTGTTTGTCATTGAGAAATGCAGCTCTCATTCATTCCGTGGCTCACTCGCTGAGGTGGTTGATAATTGAGGGGGTTATTTTGTTTTTCATCTTCAAGAAATGCATTTATATTGTGTGTAAGCCTCGGCTAAAAAATTATCAGTTCCTGACAAGTGAGAGGCACCTGAGAAATTAGCTGATGGAGGTGTGGATAAATATCACGGTGCGTTAGTCACCTTAGGGGTCGCTGAGCTGGAAGACGAAGTGTTCTGTTGACAGAGGTAGTTCTGGGAGGAGCAGGTCTGCATGGGGGCTGAAGAATTTATGGTGACTATTGCCTGAGCTGAACTTTATTGGTTTCAAGGTTGTTGATTCAGTCCCACTCAGCACCTAAATTCGCTTTCAGCAGTAGTCAGTCCACAAGAAAGATTTGGTTTAACTCCTTCTGAAGAAAGTGAAATGTCAGAGGACAGAAAAGCCTCATTGCAATGCATTGCAATGCACAGAATAGCTGTAGCTAGCTCCTGGCATCTGTTGGAATAAGGTTTCTGATTATTGAGAATTAGATACATGCATATGCATATAATAAGAATACAAGTGTTCTTACCTTTTCTTTCCCCAAACTTTAAAATAAAGCCCTCTTGCATCCCCCCCTAAGTCCACATCAGAACTTTAAAATAGTTATTTGGATCTTTTAATTCAGAAATCAGAAATGCTTTCGGTCAGTTTTTGTGGGATTGACTTTTTTCTTCTAAGTTGATAATAATTCTCAAACATATACCTCTTTCTAAAACTAAACTGTTTTAAAAATCAGCTATGTTAAATATATATTTCATAGAAATTAACTCGGTGTTTTAAATGTCCAATAAATTTTAATAAACATGTATCCATGCAACCACCACAGCTATGCTCAGGATAGTCTTCAGCATCCTGAAAGGTATTCTTAAAAATTGTTCATTTTTCACAGTTAACATTTTGGTGAAACTGGTAGCCCTCAACAGTAAATTACACTTTGGGCTCATTCATATCTGGTAGGCTACGGGAATTTTCAGGCTATCTGCAAACTTTAGAGCAATATTTTAAAAGTTAAGACCCTACAGAAATTTTTTTAAGGACTTAAAAATTTTAAGAAATTGAGGGAATAAAAATTATATGAGAATATGCCTTAGTACTTAAGAGTTTTTATTTTCATATCAGTCATATCATGAAATACATTTCCATATTTTATCATAAAATTTCCCTAGGTTTGCTAAAATCTAGAGACAGGTTTGTAGGATTTTAATCTCATGTGTCATTTTCAAGGGTTCTATATATTTGTTGTTGTTGGTAATATTTTGGCATCTTTACCCAGGTACCCGGAAGCTATTACTGATCCTGCCTACAGGGGTCAGATTCTGACCATGGCCAATCCTATCATCGGGAACGGGGGAGCCCCTGACACGAAGGCGCTGGATGAAATGGGACTTAGCAAATATTTGGAGTCTGATGGAATCAAGGTAGCACCAGTGACGACTTCACAACTTGAAAGGGGATTTAGTTGATTTACTATAAGAGTCTAGGCTGGGTGAAGTTTCTCCCTCAATGCCATAGTACAAATGATTAAATTCATGTTCTCAACCTCATCCTAAATATATGAGAACAATCTTTAACATGACATTACTGTGAGTTTTATTTCCCAGGGCACTTTGGATTTGTTCTTATAATGCCTTGAATAAGACCTGGTTTCATTTGGAAAAATATTGCTATAAGTCCAAATAATAATAATGCTACAAGAATTGGTGATGGATCATCTTTTAAAAAGATGTTGATAATCACCTCTGTATTAACTATCTGCCTTTTAATCTTATCCTCTTTAGGAGATGAGTAAAAGCTTATATGCCAGTCTAAAAGTAAACACATTAAAACTTCCTATTTGGATAATAACTTAGGCATGTGAACTATACAAAGAACTCAAAAATTTACACACTAAATTTACTCCTGTATATTTTTTCACCATTCTATTTTCAAATGACTTGGACCAGTCATTTACTTTAGCTCTATTTCTCACAACTTTACCCACATTTTGGTTCACCTTTAAATAGAAACACAAAATTGTTTCATTTTTAATGTACATTATATAAAAAAGTATTAATTAGATTATTGATAAACGCCATTGAGGAAAAATACTAGGTGCCAAGAAGGGAGACCTAGCTTAGTCTCAGGATTTGGCAAAATAGGTAAAAAAAAAGAAAGAAAAGTAACAATTATATATTTTAAAAACAAAGGGTTAATAACCGTTTTTTCTTCATCTTCAAAAATTTAAGCCTCCTAACAATGGATGTAATAAAGCTTTAAAAAAAAAAAAAAACAAAAAAAACAAAACAAAAACTGACTCTTAAGACATGCTTGTCACAAGAGTTGGATAATATTTTGTGATCCCCCCTTTTAAATGACTGCTTGTCTTTCTAGGTTGCAGGTTTGCTGGTGCTGAATTACAGCAATGACTACAACCACTGGCTGGCCACCAAGAGTCTAGGGCAATGGCTGCAGGAAGAAAAGGTGAGAACTATGGTAGAACATCCAACATCACCTGCAGATGATTGGTGGGGTCTGTGGAAGTTTGGGAAGGTATATCTAATTCAAAAGGGCCAAACAGAGGAGGCAGATCATGCAGTTTGGAGCAATTTTTTTTTTTTTTTTTTTTTAAATTTCAGAAAGCAATTTGTTTCTCTTAGTACACAGGCTGAACTATCTGAACTCATTCTCTTCTGGACATGTAGGACCACATATTTTCAGTTTATCCACTAGGTGGCAGTCATACATGCTTCGTTGAGTTTCTAATTCTGGAAAGGGGTTAGAGAAATTTTTAGAATTTTCTGTTCTCTCAAGCAACTAACCTCTCCCTCCCCTTTTATCGAGTACCCAGATATGCAACTTTTGTCATGGGTTCTAGTACCAGCTCTACCATCTACTAGAGGTGTGACTTTGTGCAGGTTATATTATCATACCATACTTTCTAAATTTTTAATTCTTAATGAGTATAAACAGATTGCCATTGAATCTCTGGGTTTACATGTTACTCCTCTATAGAATTAGACAAAATTTCATTTGAGGTTATAAATAAAAAGTTGATAAACCTCGTATTTCCTTATTTTAACTATTATTTTCTAATCAGATAAGGGGACCATCTCAGTTTGAATGGCAGGCACACTAAAGTTAAGGGACCCACTATGCACCTCACTTCATCTTCAGTGTCGCTGTGGCTGCTCTTTGTTGAATTGCTGCTGGGCCTGTAATTGACAGAATATTGTTCTCCTAAAGCTCTACCTCTGCAATGAGCTTCTACTGACTGGGGCTAAATGTTGCCTCTTCCCGACAAATCAAAAAAATCTTTACCTTGGCTTCCTTGTTCTCAATCTTTCTAAATATTAACAGAGAAAAGAAGGCAAAATTATCTCCCAGATCATTACTATTTTCTTCTCAGCCATCTGAATTTACTTCCACAGAGCTAACTTTTTTAAAGTATGTTTTTTCTCAACCATCTGAATTTACTTCCACAGAGCTAATTTTTTTTAAAGTATGTTTTTATTGATTTTTTTGGAGAGAGAGAAACATTGATCAGCTGCCTCCTGCACGCCCCCTACTGGGGATCAAGCCCAAAACCCAGGCATGTGCCCTGACTGGGAATTTAACCCGGACCTGTCAGTCCATGGGACAGTGCTCAATCCACTGAGCCACACCAGCCTGGCAGAGACCTAATTTTTGTAGTGGTCATTCAGACCCCCACCCAACCTTCGTGTTATTTAGGGCACCTGATATTATATCTGCTCTGTGTCCAAACTCCTAGTTTAAATAGAAGCTTCATCCGTGGCTTGTAGTTTGTTGTATAAACGGGATTTGACTCTTCCTCTGTGATCACCGACACATGGAAAGGCGGGTATAAGATAAAAACAAGTTTGCCTCTCTGAGGCACAGGTGAGAAAAGCCAGCTTGTTCAAACATCGCTCAGATAATTGGTGGGAAAAAGGCATTACAATTAGTTTTCCTGATTCCCAATTCGTTGCTCCTTCATTATACCACATCTGTCTCTATCTAGACTAGTCAAAGAAAATAAAACAAATGGTGGAGTTGCCCGGTTTATTAAAAAGATGGGACCATTTTATTATAGCATGACCACTTAACAAGGACCTTCAGAAAAAATGTGTTGAGTCCCTACTATGTGCCAGGAATGTTTGGCTCAAAACATGGATTTGCATCTTATTCACATATCATTGCTTACGAGGTTCACAAATTTCATTATTTCAAAATATGTCTGTGTGTCTATACATAGCATTATTTAACATCCTGTGCTAAAAGCAACAAAACTGTAGCAGAAGATTGATGTTCAGAATTTCTCATTTTTTATTCTGAGGAAGTACCTGGGTATTAGGAGTCCTGTGCCCAGCCAGAACAGCAATTTACCGTGTCCTGACAACAGAGCCACCCCGGGTCAGAGAGAAGAAGGAGTAGGGAAATTATTTACTGCTCAGGAAGATAGATGATGCTGTTTGTAACTGGAAAACAATACGCTGGATCTAATTTCCTCCCATTTCTCTGTCACCACGCTTTCTTTTTTCTTCTAGATCCCTGCAATTTATGGAGTGGATACAAGAATGCTGACTAAAATAATTCGGGAGAAGGTATGGACATCACCTTCAGCCAAATCTATGTTTGTTCACATATAAATGTATAGATGTTTCTTCTCAGTGCCCTCGGAACCCACTAGGATGTAAAAGAACACAATTTCTGCCATTTGGGTTTCTGTTATCTTGTTTTACTGTCTCTGGTGTAATTTTTGAGACTGACTACTTGATTGGGATGTCTCTTATTAAGCGGACATGAGATTAATCCGCTCAGCAGAAGTTTATTCAGTGCCTACTCTGTGTCCACGATCCTGACACGTCATGGCCTTTACAATTCAGCTCAGGACCAGTGATCAAGCGGAGATGGTTACTAGGTGCGTGACCGAAACTGAGCTCCTCCAGGCTGGAAAGTGCAAACCGGGAAGTGTACAGCGCAGGTGGTGTTCTTGGAGGAGCTGTCTGTGAAATGACGGAGTTACACTTCATGAGCGCATCAGATGAGCCCTGTATCTGATAACTCAGTTACACAATCTTTCCTGAGACTGTACCTGTGCCCGAGGGGATAGCATGTATGTTTATCTTTTGCTTTCAGATCTGATTGCTGAAAATCTGACCCCTCCTCTTAGAATGTCTCCTCACCGTCAGCTTGCATCTTCTTATTACAAGAAGTGGCCACTTTTCCCGCTATGTGAAACTTCCCTATCCCAGACCAGAAACTTTCCTTAAGGTTAACTACATTTCCAAAATGCCAGTAAAGTAGTCTCATTGAATCATATTACATAAACAAGAAAAAAATGAACAAATGATACAATGTCAAAGAGATAGAAGTTCAAGAAAATCTGTTATAGATTTCTTGTTAGAATATTTTGACACAGGATCTCTGTAATCAGAAAGTGCAGCTTTGAAAATAAGAACATGGCTACACACCCATGACCAGAAAGAAGACAGTTCATGTGATCCTTCTACTCCACCTCTGACTTTCTTCCCTCTGCCATGATTCTCCTGAGAGCAGGTGTTAGTGTGGTTAAAGACCCCAAGTAGATTCTTTTATTTTCTTAGCCCAATGACATTGTGGGAGGAGTAAGTAGTGATGAGGCTACCAGAATGGAAAGGAAATAAAATTGGGAAACTCAATTTGGGCTGTAGAATTGGCAAGTTGAATAAAATATGGCGAGGCCTGTGAATTTGGGAAAACACTCCACAAAACTATATTGTGTTCCTTATGTTAGTTTTAGATCAACCCTTCTTTTATTAGAGGCAGTTAGGTTTTCAACATTTGGCTGACTAGGCTAGTGCAGACAAAATTGTAGTATTGCCTAATATATTTAATTTTGAGAGTGGTGCTGGCTCATGTTAAAAATGTACACTGTAGATTTTAGTCTATTAATCTTAGGTTAATCTTAGGAAGCTTGAAATTCATTCAGCATGCTTTAAGAAGAAGGGAATGAGAACTGAAAACCAAGTTTTAAAATTAAGGATCCATAAATATAGTCAAGGGATTCTGTGATTTGGATTCTAAAAGTAAGTAGAGAAAAATTAAACTAATGACCCAGTGTGGAAGCGAAAGTGTATTTTTTCAGAATTTGAGGTCGCACTCTGATTTTAATCATCACAAGTAACCGTCATGTCCAAACGGCGTGCTGATGCCTTCTACCCTCGCTCACTCCCCGTGTCTCCCCCTAGGGAACACATTTCAAAGAAATAAAGACTTGCCTCTCTTTTCTTCAATGCAATTCTTTCTTGGAGAAAGGCAAATCAATGAATTATTTTGACATCCCTCCCCAGTAAAGTCTTACCTACTAAATATAATATGCCGTTTTTCTAAATCGGTCAAATTAGACTTACTAACAAATAAGTAAAACATTTTTTATAATAAGAATGTTTACTTTTTTAAACATTTTTAAATAGGAAGAAAACATTTGCCATGTTCAAGCTAGCAAGGCTCATTTGTGAAAACTTCACAGAAGGCTAAACATTTTTTTTAAGTTCAGGCTCTTAGGGACATCTAGACATTAGCACGACTGAAACCGAGGATGTTCAATGCCTCTTCTCAAAGTTTATGAGTTATATAGCATTTTCCATTTTTTTGTGAAATGATTTTACTATCACAATGTAGTCAGTTCCCATTCTTTTCAATGCTCAAAAACTTTTAGATTTCTCTTCTTTCTCTCTCAGGGGATTGTTTTGTCTATGTCGCCCATGAAGTACCTTTAGGTCAGTTGCACTAAGGAGCAGGTACCCTCAATACTGAAAGCTTTGAACCCAATTTCGGATGCCTTTGACTTTGCTTACTCAAGATGATTGTCTCAGCCCTAAAAGAACTGATGGTACCTCCCAGAGCGCTTCCCAATATTGTGCCGTGCAGACGCCTCTGTCTTTCTAGGTTGAGACCACGACCCGCTTTTGGTTATGAGTAGTTACCAAGATGTCGGATCTCAGCGGAGCTGTTTGAGTCCCTGTGAACTGATCCTGTAGCACCTTCATCACTGCTCCCTTTGAACTGTCTAATTTTTTAATTTGATAGGGCACCACGCTTGGGAAGATTGAATTTGAAGGTCAGTCTGTGAATTTTGAGGATCCAAATAAGCAGAATTTGATTGCTGAGGTTTCAACCAAGGTGAGCAATTTTCCTTCACATGTTGTACTTAAGTTTTTTTTATTCCCTTTAGACCTTCCTTTCTTATAATATCAAAATCTTCATTTAGGCTGAAGACATCTTTTAGAAATACCAGACTTGAGGGGGAAAAGGGGTCTTAGAGCAGCTAAAATAGATATTACAAATCAGCACATTTAAAGTTAGAAATTGTTTACTATTATTTTAACTTTTTTCTGGTTCCCCATTGCAAAGCTGAACAACAACAACAAAAATAGCAAGTTTTCTCTACCTTTGTTGCCAAAAGTGAAGCATATCTGGTTTGAAAGGCAATATCAAGTAAAGGAGCTGATGACTTGCCAGAGACAGGCATAGGGACAATCAGAAATCAGAGCTAATGGCACTTTAAAGAAATCAGACACAATAAACAGAGTCTGGGGTCGTTTTGAGCAGGGAGAAGTGTTCCTGGACACACTGAAGATATATTGCAGTATAGCTCAATTCAAAAATTAGCGTTCATGGTAACCGCTGTGCCACCCGAAAGTGAGATCTGTTTAGTGTATATTTATAAGAGGGTATAGAATATATTTTTGAAAGATGTCTGTTGGTTTTGATTATATTCGTTGATATAGGTATAAGTCTCTTGGGCTATAATCCCTGTCCTTGGGGAGCATAAAAGCTAGAGGGACTTGCAAATAAGTACTCACCATGGACAGCGTTTGTGGTCAAGGCTGTCCTTAGAACACACACAGGTTGCCCCAAGGGCAAGGGAATGGAAAGGGCCGCACCCAACAAGACAGCGGGTCAGGGAAAGCCCTGCACAGGGGTTAGCTTTGTTCTGAGACAGAGAGCAGGTGGTTACGTGGATGAACTGGGAGAACTGAGATTCAGGCTCACACAATGGCACGCATCGGAGAGGCACAGAGGTATGCAACAGCACGGTGCGTTTGCAGAGCTATGCCTGTGCAGTATGGTTGAGCTAAAGGGTTCCCCTATTTGGCTAACGATGAGAGGAGATGGACAGCTGCTGGGTCTGGAGGCTTTTGTATTGTTGGTAAAATCAACAAAACTGGAAACAATTGGGAACTCATTCAGCATCATTTTGGAGACAAGTAGACTGGATAAAAGAGCAATTAACTAGGTTATTATAGCTAATCAGGACAAAGCCCATGGGGGCCTGGTCTAAGCAGTAACAGTGGGACCCTCTTTTTCTCTCTCCTCTGCTTGCTTTCAAGAAGTCAGTTCCTCTGCGAGGCCTTCCAGGACTTACCCCACCTTTGAATTCCATGTCATTTTATAAATAGCTTTATTAAAACAACAACAAATTGTATTTAGCTCCTTGCAAGGATTGTCTTTCTTATTTTTCTATGGTTAGCTCTTTGAGAACCATGGTTTATTTATCTGAATCCCCAGTACTTACCATAGTGTCTTTCACACAGTACATGCTCAATAAATATTGAACGAATAAATAAAGGAAAGAACAAAGCCAGTAAATAGTAGTCGGAATTGGTGGTAAAAATGCTACAGGTTCTTTTGTTCCTTTAAATTCTGATTACTTTGCCCTGGCCAGTTTGGCTCAGCAGTTAGAGCGTCGGCATGTGGTCCAGAGAGACCCGGGTTCTGTTCCCGCTAAGGGCGCGTACCTTGGTTGCAGTTTGTCCCCGGCCCTGGTCGTGTGGGTGGCAGCCACTCGATGTGTCCCTTTCACGTTGATGTTTCTCTCTCTCTCTCTCTTCCTCTCTCTCCCTCCCGCTCTGTCTGAACAAAAAGTGGAAAAGTGTCCTCGGGTGAGGATAAAAAAAAAAAGATCCTGATTACTTTAGTCAATATTTCTGATGGTTTTATATCCATTATTAACATAAAAATTATCATTATTTTTAATAACCAGTATGAGCTTTATTAATAAAAACAATAATAGACTAGATGTATAGATGTATTGAGTGTCTAGTATGTATCAGGCATTTTTCTAAACACCTTGCACTGAATAATGTATTCAATTCTTAGAGCAATGCTATGGGATAGGTATTAGTAGTATTTCATTGTACCAAAGGAAGAACTGAGATATAGATTAAATCCCCCTTCTCAGGGTGAACAGTTATCAAGGTTTATACCTAGGAAGGTTTGTTCTAGTGTTTACCTCTTAAACATCATGTTATACTGCCTTCCAACATCCTAGAAAGAATAATTCTTAGTAACCATAGTCATACTGTCATGTAATAATCATAAGTTTACATAGTTCTACACCATCTAATTTTTACATTTATGAAGTGAAGAGTCAAGGACATCTAATCAGAAGCAGTAAAGCATATAATTGGACAGTGGGTAAATGCCCTAGAAAACTGACTCTGGTTGTCTGGAGTATTCTACCCCCGACTGTGACAAAACCTTCTCAGTAAGGGTCGTTAGAAAAGCTTCCTCCCTCGTACTTACCGATACTTGTTTATTTGGGAAATGATCCATGGTGCGACCTAGCACCATCCAGGTGTCTGTGGAGGACAACATTTGATGAAGAAGAGTTGTAGCCATGAAAACATTATTGCTTCAGAGTATTTTTTTTTTAAAAGAGCAGAAATAGCTTGATTAGTAGCATGTCTGACTCAGAGAAAACCTGTCTTGATATTATTTTTCTTCCTACTTTTGTCACATGGGAACAGAGGATGAGGAATTTGGGTCCTTGGGAGTCAGGACTTGACGACAGAGTCTTGATGCTGATGTTGGACGTGGACATGCATTTACATCATTTTGAAGCTTCTGAGATAGATAACTGTTTGTATATCTGGAATTTGATCATACCACATGCGATATTCACTTGTTTTTAAGTCTAAAATTTGTCTGTTCAGATGACATGAAGCTATATTCCCTGTATTTGTTTCTAGACATTTCCATGTGAATTGATTTAGTTTGAGACATAGCACGAGGGCTATTTTTCTTTCTAGAATGATAGAACTATAGAATTGAGAACTACGTTGGGCATCTATCTTAGCATTTTCCAAATGTGAAGAACATTGGGTCTGAAGACATTCACCTTAAAACAATTCTATGACAGTGAAATATGGTTGAACAGCACTGCATGATACAGTCTTCTCTTGGAGGCTCCTAATTCAAATTCATATATTTACCTGTCTGTGAGATCTTGCTAAAGTCCGATCATTCTATATGGAGGGTACGTAATGTGTTTGTGTAAGATCAGCAACAGGGAGCCTCTCCATACTTTTACTATATTAAACCATGGGAGAGATTGCAATGATGAATGCTAGTTCTGTTTCTTAATGCCAGAGCAATTAAATGATTTCATTTTAGCTATTAGATTAGATTTATTCTGTGAATTTTGTTTGGGTGTGTTTGGTAATCCAATTCATTGTCTTGTAATTGCAATTTCATGTAGCTACAACTAGATGGTAATATTGCTTTCTTTTGTAGCAGAAGCCTAAGGTTAAGAATAAATCTATACTTCTTCAAATTATCTGATGAAAGAGGTTATCTGTAGCATTTATGGATTAGTTAAGCAATAATTCATCCAGATCATAGAAAGACTGGGGTATTAGTTTTCTCTAGAATAGTCAGCAGGACAAAAAATATAAACATAAAAATTTTTTTTCTCTTGAGTACAGTCCAAGGATTATGATTTCACATTCTATAGACTTTGTGGGGAGAGAGACATTTCAGTGAAAGGAAACACTTTTTCAAATACACAGATTGCAACTTTCATCTAAAACTGTTTGCAAACTGAATGATCCCAAATTCAGCATGTGCTAGCTGACCCTCAAAGCTGGGATCACTGTGGGCACCCAGCCCTGTAGGCTTCTTTCCAAATATTTCTATTATTTTTCCTTTCGTGACTTTGGGGAACTACTTCCCGGGCAAATGCCTATGAAAATGCATCTGACTCCAAGCAGTGCTTAAGGCACAGGCAATGATATGCTCTGGGATCCTTTCATGAAGTCTCCCATTTAAATGCAAACGCTTGTACAGTAACCTAGAGGGACCCGTGGTCTACACTAGCTCAGTAATTCCTCTGACTCATACTGATTTTATCCATTAGCCCCACTGCATAAGTCTAATGCTCTACCTCATCCACACTTTACTGCAAGTTGAGGATCGAGTGGTACTTAAAACAGCATCTGTCTCTTACCACATCTGTCTAGTGCTAAATCAGGCCATAATACTTGAAAACTCCATTGTTACTGTTTGTTAGGGAGGCAAAACATGGGAAAGATGGTTGTTAACTATGAAAGCAACCAATTTCTTAGGGGTTGTTGTTATTACTGCAATCAAGATTTTACATAAAATAACAAAGTTTTTTTTTTCATTATAAAAAAGATACAGACTGTGCTGTCCTTACAAACTGATTAACTGCCAGTCACTCCCAAATAGTTAGCCGTCAATCTGCCGCCAATCTAAGTGCAAAGCATCCTCAGATGTGCTTGTGTATTGACGTATTGCTCCTAGCTGGAACTACCCTCTCACTCTTTGGTTTTTAAAATGGCAGGATGTCAAGGTGTATGGCAAAGGAAACCCCACAAAAGTGGTAGCTGTAGACTGTGGGATCAAAAACAACGTAATCCGCCTACTAGTCAAGGTAAGTAAATCATTCCATCTCTAGGGTGAGGATTTGTAATATCGATCGTTTAGTGTTAAGCTGATTTCTTCTTTCTGTTTCAGAGAAAGCTTGTGCGTTCTCTCAGAATGTCAGGGCATCTACTCTCTTCTTGTTGCCTTTGATCTACAAAATGATACATTTATCCCTGTTAAAATTAGAGATGTAGACTACATTTAAAAACAATACCACAAAGCCCACAAAAACAGAGAAGAAAGTGATGACTGTTCTTATCACTTACTGACTGACATTCTGAGACATGCCATGTTCACATCCTGGGGGTTTAGAGATGATAAAAAAAAACTAGAGTCAGTTGGAGAACTTCTCCATTGGGCTGTATTTATTATGTACCACATGTTTGCAGAGGTCATCCCCTGATACAGTGCAAACTTTCACACTGCTCTTGGACAACCGTTAATATTAAACCTGAAAAGTCCTTAGGGAGAATTTAACCATTATTACAGTGTTTTCTTAAATTGTCTTTGTTGCGATTTCTCCTTCTTCACTTTCCTCTCCCATTCTCTTTTTGTGTCTCTTTGTGTAAGTCTCTGTCTCTTTCACACACACACACACACACACACACACACACACATTTGCATAATATAAAATTAGCTCAAGTAGAGGGGAATTCTTCAATTCTTTGATTTCAAATTCTGGTCAAGTTTAGTAATGAAAATTCAGTAGCAGATACTATGAATGGCCCATCTGTATCTCCCTTTCGGTTCACCATTCTGAGGCACTTGCCTGACTTCCATTTGCAAGTGCCCACACTTCATTGCGGAGGGCTTGCTATGGTCGGCTGGAGCCTGCTGGCCTGCAGAAGATGCCATAGAATGAACCAGTAACTAGAGAGGGTCATTGTGTAGATAACCCAGATCCTCTGCTCCATGGCTGCGCTGTCTTTGAGATGGATATTCTATACTCTCCCTGAGTTCCTCAGTGGGATGAAGTTCAACTCATCTGTATGGTAATGGCTTGATAATGCTTACATCATCGGGATGCCTCATGGTGTCATTTTCTATTGGTATTTCTTGGAAACACTTCAAAATAAACTTCTTTTTTCTCAAATCCTTGTCTCAGGAAATGATTCTAGGAAACCATCAAAGATAGCTTCTTATTGATATTTACATAGAAAAGTTCTAACTTTTCAATCAGAATATAAATATTATAAGCAATATGAGAAAACCCTAGGAAAGAAGGCTGATGAAAATTCGATCACACAAAAAGGCAAAATTGAAAATGGTAAAAAAAGTGAGCCAATTTAAGTTTTGGAGAAAATCAATTTACCACTTTTTGCAATTCTTTCTCCCATAGTTCTAGTAAGATAACCTGCATTCCAGTGTGCCCAGGCATGAAAACTTTCGGCTCTGCAAACTTCTGAAATGTAGAAAAGTGTCATCTATGTTTTCAGGATCAAATCTTGAATAGTGTTTTTTTTCCCCTCCACTTTTATTGACCATTTGCTCCATGAACATCACGCAAAACACAATGAGCCACCAAAGAATTACTTTGCTCAGCTGTATTTCTTTGAATCACATGCTATGTTTCCCTTCTCTTTAGGAAGTGGTTAGTCAGGAGAAGGTCTAGCAAAATTGCATTTTGGCAAAGAAAAGTGTGACTGAATTCTGGTCGTTCTCCTGTGTCCTTTCTAGCGCGGAGCTGAAGTGCATTTGGTCCCCTGGAATCATGATTTCACCAAGATGGAGTACGATGGGCTTTTGATTGCCGGAGGACCCGGGAACCCAGCTCTCGCACAACCGCTGATTCAGAACGTGAAAAAGGTGCGGTGAACTGGGAGCGTGTGTCTGCGCGCGGAGTGGAGGGAGTCTGCTCCACACTGCCGAGAGGCTGTCAGATGTTTTATTTATTCAGGATTTTTTGTTACCCCCATTGGCAACCTCTGCGGTAATGTCAGCACAGATATGTACTGGAGGAACCAATGAAGAAAAAGCCTTTCTTTAGACAAAGTAACTGGGATTGTGTCCCTGAGTTCAGAGGGTGGAGTCTGATCTCCCAAATGTCTCTCCTTACAATTATGAAATGACAGCTTACCTTCCTCATCGTGACCTTGGGACCTGTAACATCCTCAAGTTTCTAAAGAAATATTAAATTAGCTTTATTTTAGCCTGTATGGTAAATACATTTTATTGAATTCTAATGCTATAAACTTGTCAACCATGTTCTTATTCATAGTCTAACTTTTTGTTCAATTACTATTTTCTTTACCTTGTTAATTAAGGAGGGGGCAGAGGATGCTTCCTTTTTATTTCTTGAGAGGCACTTTTTGGGACTGTCCTTCTGGATTAACAAAAGTTCTCCCTGATTTAGGTTTTGGAGAGTGACCGCAAAGAGCCATTGTTCGGAATCAGCACAGGAAATCTAATAATAGGATTAGCTGCCGGTGCCAAATCCTACAAGATGTCCATGGCCAACAGGTGAGGTAGCGAGGCTTTTGTTTATAGGTCGGACTAGCTCTGAAATATCATTAGTAACTAAATCCAAAAGACTTAGAGAACTCACATGCTGCTTCCTTCAGAATAAATAGGTGCTCACAGTGACTCATGGTTGCCTGACTACCTGGTTCAGCTTCCACTGTGCTTGTGAAACCCAGCTTCTCTAACAATGGCTTGGCGGTCGTGTGGTTTCCCCTCCTTGGCAAACATTGAAATTATAAAACTCAGTCGAATAACATTCTAGGGGAAATCGTTCTGATTTTAAACTTGAGTTCAGAGCACTGATAACGTTGTAAGGTTGGGTGGCTTAAGAACCAAGAAATCTTCAGATCCTCTCGGTTTTCCTTCCTTACCCCAAATGATACTGATTGATGGAACACGGAGCTTTCCCAGAGGACCACCTTCCACCGAAAGTGCAATTCGAATGGATTCAGGACTGAGTCGTTATCTCCTTATTATCGTCCATGAACTCTCATCTAGCTTTAAAATGACTGTGGCTCCCTTAAAATAAGTCACTTATATTTGTCTGTCACTGTTTAGCTAGTAAGCAACCCAACTTTTTGTTACGAGTGCACTGTCCCCTTTTCCAAGACTGGTTACAGAAGTTTAATAGGCCTGATATTTAACACACAATGAAGCTTCCTGAATTGATTTTTGTTGCTAAAATGATTGGGATTAACAATCTGTGACTTTCCTCACAGAGTAATAATACTCACTCAGCAACTGAAACTTTCGAATTTTAATAGTCTTTTCTTGTTCACAATTTTCCGACAAATGCGTTTATATTCTTCTCCTTCCTTTTCCTCTTCCTTCTTCCCGTCTTCTCCAGAGGGCAGAATCAGCCTGTTTTGAATGTGACAAACAGACAGGCTTTCATTACAGCTCAGAATCATGGCTATGCCCTGGAAAACACCCTTCCTGCTGGCTGGAAGCCACTTTTTGTGAATGTCAACGATCAAACCAACGAGGTAAGTGCTCTCAAGAACCTGTTTAGTTGGTGATGGGAAATGCAAGGCTTTTAATACTGTTAAACAGACACTTTTCTCTTGTTTACGTGGGCTATTTGGAGTTTGTGCATGAAAGGACTCTGTTTATGGGTTATTTCCCAGAGCCCTATGCTTTTCACAAAGTCACTTCTCTCTGTCTTATTTTCTCGTCGGTGACTCACTAAGATCCATCCTTTGGGTGGTTTATCAATGACTATCTTGCACACTCATTGTTAGTGGGGGATTGGTGAAGATCTGTTTGAAACTACTCTTTGTGTGTCTCTGGGACTAGGCATTTGAAGTATCCTTTGAGAAGTCCCCTGGAGAACCTATTTAGGAGATGAAGATAAGAAGAGGATTTGGGTGGATTCTGAACAAAGCTTCGAGGGGCCCCAAAAGCCATAAACCAAATCAGTTGTTTTTATTAAGGGAACCACATTTGGTTGAGTCTTTTTGGCTTATTTTTAGTAGTACTGTTAGTTTTTGCAAATGTTCTTAAGCATTTAATGCAATTCTAATTTGAATAATATTCATCCCTGGTTGATATTCATTGTCATTGAAGACATTTCTCCCATGTCTTGTTCCTTAGGGTATCATGCACGAAAGCAAGCCCTTTTTCGGTGTGCAGTTCCACCCAGAGGTCAGCCCGGGGCCGACAGACACGGAGGTATGTAAGAAACATGAGGCCTGTTACACACTTAAAAAAATAAATTAGAAATGTATTTATGTGAAAACTTGAGAAACCAAATAATCACCTTAGGTGACCTTGGTACAGAACATTCTCAAGGAGGGTGCTGTGATAATACCTTCATGGTATTAAAATATCCCCTTGAATATTATAGGAATATCATGAAATGTGTGTCAGTCTGTCATGGGTTTTTTTTTTTTTTTTTTTTTTTTTTAAGAAACCTGATGCAATGCTACTTTTATTTAAATCATTATCATTCTAATATAGTTAATTCTAAAATTTACAGTAGTTGTCCTATGCAAATGAATTCCCCCTTGCTCTCTCATTCTCATAATTCAAATGAAATTTTAATCCCCCATCTGTAACTTCACAAAATCTCTATGGCAACTGGTTGTGCAGCCATGTAGGGAAAATAAACAATAGCAGGAAAAGGAAGGCAGGAGGGTGGGGGAGGGGAGAGGTCATGCATGCGCATACATAGAGTTGGATGGCTTAAGAACCATAAAGAATTACGAGAGAAGTTTTGTCTACAATATAAATATTTCTACTTTTATTGTGTGAGCTTTTGGTTCCACGTTCAAGGACATTTTTGCAAAACAAGAGCTTGCAGTGATACTTAGACAAGTCTGGGAAGTGTGGTATAACTCTTCATCTCTCGCACCCCAGGGCCTCCAACAGTAATGCTTACAATTCTTCCTTGTCAGCAGTTACTTTCAGAAAAGACACCCAGGCAACATGAAGAAGAGAATAAGAATTTTCTGTCTGTAAACTCTACCACCTCATCTCTGAATTGCTTTTTCAGATTTTTTTTTTCTTGTTTCATTCTTATTAAGAAATAATGGTTCTTAATAGCCAAAGTCAATATAGCATTACTTAACCACAATGAAACTCATAAATAAAAGTTAGTTATGCACATATATTGTGTAATGCATGATATTTTTTTACATTTAAAATATAAATTATTTGTTGATGTTAGGGCCTCAGACTAGAAACATTGAAATTGAGACATGTAATATCCAGTATCACTTAATCCTTTTTTATCTTGTCAAAAATAGCAAAATGGATATTTTTGTTGAAATTTGTTATGTCTGTTGTAAAAATAGAAGTAAATTCATTGGTAAAGTTTAAGAATAATCTTTGGAGATATTTTTTGAGCTGATAGAAATTTTAAATATTCAGTTATTTCTAACTTTAGGATGCATAAGTAATTATAACCAAAATTTCACTCTGAAGAAGAAAATTGTTCATAATTTGGAGGCTGAAAACTTAACATTCTCAGAAGGCATTATCTGAAATGTTCATTGTCTGCTGAAAACTCTCTTTTGTTAGAATTTCACATAAGTAGTTAGAAGTGTTTATTTAATCTAATTCTTATAGTAATAAATATTCAATTAGTTTTGCCAGAATTGGCAAAAAACAAATACTGCATAGAAATACTTATCCTAAAATGTTATTTGTTTATCTAAAGTTCAGATTTAACTGAGCATACTGTATTTTATCTGACAACTTTACAAGTTTTGAAGCTTCTAACTAGTTATGTTTTTTTTCTAGTATCTGTTTGATTCCTTTTTCTCACTGATAAAGAAGGGGAAAGGAACCACTATTACATCGGTTCTACCAAAACCCGCTCTCGTTGCATCTCGAATTGAGGTCAGTATGTGTGGGGTTTTTTTTGGTTTATGTATTTTGGAATTTCTCTATCATGTAATGGTATGTTTTTAAGTTAATATGTAAACCTTTTTAATGTTTATGAAAGATGATTGGTGTTACCGTAATCTCCTATCATTTTAGCATCTAATTATTTGGTCTGTTCTTAATAATGAACGCTCATTGGAATTTTCATGTTTATATTTAAAGTCATATCTTTTAAAGTTTAGTTCTTCTAGGATGTTTATAATAAAATAATGTAGTAAAGAATAGAGTTTAATTTAGTTTAGAATTTGATATATTTTCCATTACTCAATAAACCATAGATTTTGCATATGCTTGAGATACACAGTTCAGAGTACATAATCACTAGAGGTGGTATAATTTTTTTTTTTAAAGATTATTCAGCATCACGAGTGGAATAATATTATTTACCTGTAAAGAACAAAAAGATAAGAATTAAAATATCATAGGACTTGAATCCTTATCTGTTTGAATGTGTATGTTAATATAAGATCTTTACCCTTCTCTTTCATGGTTAAACCACACGCAAACATACCCACACCATTATTTTACAAAATTTAGAGGGATATATATGTATATAGTTTATTAATAAAAATAATTGATTTATATGTACATGAAATAAATTGAGTTAGATGGTTTAAGGATTTCCATGGCAACCTGTTTTTCCTGAGATGAAAAGATTGGAGGTAATGTAGCCTCTCAACATGGAGTCAAACTGGGTTCCAGGTAGCGAAAGAAAAACTGTGTAGTGTTTTTGTCAGAATATCAACTTATGGTCTTCAAATGCTTTTCTTTTTTTAAATGAAGAAGGAAAGGTATTAATTTGGGATTCCACAGTGACTTGGAAGGTGCCCAATAAATACTTGTTGAAGCGAACCAAGTTCCCCAAACCCTTGTCCCTTGCCTGACCAAGAACATATTTCTCCTCTGAAGGGCTTAGCAATTAGCTAAGAAATAAGCAGTATTATTCTTTGCTTGAAATCATGTATACAATTTGTACAAATATATTGCCAAGGCATGATCATTTTCTTGTTATATTTTCTATAAATATTTCTGGCACTGAATTGTAAAGGAGAAATGTAAATATCAAGGTGTCCCATGTCCCCTCGCTTCTTGTGTTTTTAATCAGTTTAGGAAGGCTCAGAGGCTTGTTTTTGTGCCAATCCTTTGTTCAGAAGAAACCCATGAAATATTGAATGTAATACACTTAGTCAATTACATTTTGGGAGATTCTTATCTAAAACTATAAATATGTACACACATAATTGCCTTATAGCCTCATCTTAATAATAAAAGCAATGCATTTATTTTATTTTATTTATTGCTTACAGGTTTCCAAAGTCCTTATCCTCGGATCGGGTGGTCTGTCCATTGGTCAGGCAGGTGAATTTGATTACTCAGGATCACAAGCTGTAAAAGCCATGAAGGTGAGAGAATATGATCTTTGCCAGAATTAATATACTCCCTTTAATGAGTCTAATTAGTATTGTATAATTTAGATTTATGGCACTACCTCTTTTCAAAGTCACTATAATTAATTTTCTTAACTGTTCCTTACACATCTTATATTAAAGGATGTTTGATCACAGATGAGATTTTTAACTTTCTCCAATGTGTGCACCTGCAAATTATATTTAGATTGGTCTTCAAAATTATCTACATTATCACCTATTTATAATGAAAACATATGAAGCAACACTTTAGATGTTTCTCGTTCCTTTTGAGGCAGTGAGCTTTTTGTCTTTTGTGTGAAAGGGTGAATTTGGGCATCGTTGGTGCTCTAAAGTATTTCAGTATTTTACCGGATGCTTCAGAGTTCCCTGTGGTTGAAAAGGGGAGATCAAGTTTGGGGAAGCAAAGGCAACGTTGCCTTTTGTTCAAGCTCTAGAGATTATTACCTGTCAGTAGGGAACCCAACTACCCTTCTATGACTTGAGATGGATGATCTGCTGGGATGGTGTGGTTGTATTTTCAAGTGGAAAAGAGAATTTGATACCCAAGTTGGGAAGATCTTACCTATTTCTTCAAAGTCTCTTGCGACTTGCCATACTAAATAAACCTTAAGAAAAAGTATACTGTACATTTAAGATATTTCTATTTAAGAGCTTACTTGGCTTCTCTCTGGTGTCCTTATTTCCCTGGTTAGTCCCCATTTTGGTGCTAATCAGGCCACCCAGCGGCGCTGTGAGTTCCCTGTGACCTTGCCCGAGGCTTTGCAGTGCGAAGCCATTCCTGGAGACGTGGCTGGGAGACAGGGCGCAGGAATGCAGCAGAAAACCGAAACAACAAACGTGGGAAATAGTTGGCCAATTCTGTTTTTACTTATTTTTAAAATTTAATATTCTATACACAGAGATTTTCACCGGACAGATGCCTCATGAAAACACATGGAACATGGCCCCCAATTACCTTAATCTCCGTCTCATTTGTTTTTAAAACTCTTTTCCATACACACAAGGGTGTTCATACATATGCACACGTGTTTTTCATATACATTTTCAAAGCATACTTTACTCCATTGCACTATGATTCGGTTTATCTTTAGATAGATAGTAGATGGCCATTGGTTTAGTTTGATTAGAAACTATCTAAATGTGTTCTGGGTTTAGAACACATTTTACTAGCATACATTTTTTAAAGGCTATTTGGTAGTTACGTGAATAATTAATATTTTCACAGTTTGTATTTTTTTATGTGCTTTTACATCCATTAGGTGAAGTTATATATATTTAACTGAAGAATAGGAATCATTAGATATAGTATTGTAATTAATTAGAGGTTAACAGAGATGAATTTATGAACCAAATATTTAAAAATAATTAAGAGTGTGCGTGTATTGCACTCAAAACTGTGCTAGAAAAAATGATGTAAAGTTTATTAAAATTATTCTTAAGTTTTAAAATAAATGGGCACCCATTACTTGCATATATGGGACCTTTTCTGTATAATTTTATTTATAAAAGTACCCATGTTCATTGTGTAGCCCATTCAGGAAAATACAAATATGTTTAGGTCTGTTGATACTTTTCTATAGTAGTAAGACCTTCTACAATTTCTATTTATGATGTATCCTCAGTTTAGACCCAATTATTTAAATTCAAACCCATATTTTAAATGCAATTGCTTATCTGTATGTATCTATTTAATATTTTGCTAATACACTTAATACTCTTTTTAAAACAGTTTCTTAAAATCTTGAGAGATGACTCGTATTGAGGAAGGGCACAGGACTTAAATGAGAGTTTTAATTTTGGCTATTACCAGCTATATGATCTTTGGCAAGTTATTTAACTGTTGAATCTCATTTTTTTTTTTATCCATAAGGTGGAAATTTCTCTTGTAGTCTTGGTATAAGCATTAAGTAAGTTAATAAAAAAGTATATTATAAATTTTTGGCACTATTTGAATTTAAAATGGTATGAGATCTATTTAATTTTTCATTCAGATCTTTCCCCAGGGATATAGAGGTCTTTCAAAGATGATTTCTATACTTTCAGCTGAATATTTTGTTGACTTTCTAGAAGAGTTCAAAATTGACGTACTAATAGGTAAAATAATAAAAACCATCTGGCCATATTTTATAATCGTTATTTTTGCTAAGTTTTACCCTCATCCTGGTTTATAAAGCTATTATTCTTAGTAGCCTACATAAAGGATTATTTAGGTGGTCTCTCCAGATGTCAGGGATGAGATAGGCTATGAATACCTTCATATACACACATAAATTTTTATTTTATTTTGCCATATGGTCATTTTCTTTTTATATAATATGTATAAACACTTGCATAATGCTCTTTGTTAAAGCGCTACAGCAGGCATGAAAATCTAAAGAAAATAGATACCAGCAGAAGGCTCCCAGTGCTTCTAGCAAGAAGGGAACACATTACCGTGCATTTTTAATGTACACTCAGTGTTGTTCTCAACAAACATTAGAAAGGGAAGCAGCTTTGATGTTGCCTCCAGTTCCATTTTATAGTTTCCTCATTAAAAATTTTTGGAATATTGTGTTCTTTTAAGGTCGAATGAGCTGTAAAGTTCAGTAGTACTCACTTAATGTCGATGATAGGTTATTGGAAACTGTGCCTTTAAGCAAAACAATGTATAACGAAACCAATTTTGCCATAGGCTAATTGATATAAAGAAGAGTTAAGTTCTTATGGCATTTTTCTGGTCACCAAAATCTTCATCAAACTTATAAATAAAGACCCTAAATACTTCTAATTTCAAACATTAAAATAAATGCTAGCTCTGTAGATAATAAATAAAGATGAATAAAAACAAGTAAGACAATTATTTTTCAACTCCTTATTCCACTTCAGGGTCTTGGGTGGCTGGGGCCTCTCTCGGCAGCTCAGGGTGCAGGCAGGACCCACGCTGGACATGATGCCCTTCCATCACAGGGCACACTCACATCCACACGCTCTGAAACTGGGATAATGTAGACACGCCAGTGCATCTCCCTGGACCTCTGTGGGCTGTGGGGGCAATTGGGAGTCCCTGGAGAAACCCATGCAGACACAGCAAGAACATGCCAACTCCACACAGACAGTGGCCCCTGCCAGGAACTGATTTTTTTCTCATTAATATTATATAACAAAATGACTTGAACAAAAACACGTTGAGGACCTGCTATATTTGTGGATGTCTACTCAGATTCTACAGAAATCACTCCCAGCTTTGCTTGAGGCCTTCACTAGCAAGGAATTCAGGATGATCCTTATGAGGGAGGCAGTTCTTTTTGAATAGTTTTATTTTCACTCAATTCCTTCCTTTTACCAAATGTTTGTTTCCCTCTAACATTCATTCATTCATTCATTCATTCATTCATTCATTCATTCTCTAATCCATTACCTAATCTATTCATTACCTAAAAATGCCCCTTATTGGAATATGGTCATTCTCTTCTTTAACCCATGTATTCAGATTCTGGATCCTTTCGTTTCAGGAAGAAAATGTCAGAACTGTCCTGATGAACCCAAACATTGCATCGGTACAGACCAACGAGGTGGGCTTAAAACAAGCAGATTCCGTCTACTTTCTCCCCATCACCCCTCAGTTTGTCACAGAGGTCATCAAGGCAGAGCGGCCAGATGGGTTAATTCTGGGCATGGGTGGCCAAACAGCTCTGAACTGCGGTGAGTTGCTTTAAGTGTAATTGCAGAGTTGGGTCCATGCACTCATGTAGAACTGTGCTCGTTTGTTTGTTTGGCTCTACCTAAGAACTGTGCTGTGTGTTTATGAAAGCTTTCCTCTCGTGTGTGAAGAAGCAGCTAGCAAGCAGCCACCTGAAAGTGTCATATGATGAATATTACTGGTTTATTTCAAAGAACATCTGAGGGACAAAAACAAATCTTTTGCTTTAATGCACTGGAGTGGCCAAGTAGGTTTCTTGGGTCTCCATCCTCTATCCCAAGATATTGCTTTTCTCTGTTACCAGTGAAGTGCTGAGAACTATTATTATGAAAAATGAGAATTAACAATGATTAAGTGCCTTGTGCTTTTATATCTCAGCCCTGTAGCATTTGACTTTCATGTATATTTTCATGATAACATAGATCAGTCTCTCTACCATCCCTTCATTTATCTGCTGAGTACAATGCTCTGTCCTCTTTAAAATGCTTCAAACCTTTGGAACTAGATTGTGAATGAGACTATCAGTAGCTAGTTTGGGTAAGGAGTTGGTGATGTAATTTGTATGACAATTATAAATCACTTAGCTAAAGTTAGCTAGCAAGTTAGTAAAAACAAAAACAATTTTGATTATTTTTCATATCCATATGCATACCCATACCACTGGGATTATTTAAATATAAGAAGCTCACTATATGAATAGACCATAGAAGGGAAGAAAATATACTAAAATTTTAAGGCTCAATGTAATCATATGACTTTTATTAATGACAATAATAAAAATCATTTAAGAAGGTGGTAATATAAGTAACAATCGCATTAGCAAAATATTTTGTTAGAATGTCTTAAGAAATTTTAATTCAATGTTTTTACATTAAGTGCAATTCTAGTTTGAACTGTGGTGGCTTCTTGGAGTTAATTTTAAGATTTAAAGAAAAGGTATTCAAAAAGACATAAGAGTTTATGATGTTAAAAAACTGATTGTATGTGGTTCTTCTGTAGGAGTGGAACTATTCAAGAGAGGAGTACTCAAGGAGTATGGCGTGAAAGTCCTGGGGACCTCAGTTGAATCCATTATGGCCACAGAAGACAGGCAACTGTTCTCGGACAAACTAAATGAGATTAATGAAAAGATTGCTCCAAGCTTTGCTGTGGAATCGGTAAGAAACATTCTTTCTGGAGAAACAAGGCCATTATTTGTTTTGGTTGTAGGGAGATTGGTTTGTCATGCTTAAAAATGATAGTTACAATTATTATACTTGCATATATGTTCTTCCAGAAATTTGTTAGTACCCTGGAAATATTGTGTATTAATTGCAGTATTCATTGCCTAAATTTTAGGTTTAGGTATTCATATTTTATTTTATAAAAAGAGAAGCAAAACCAATAAAAATTATTTTTATCAATGCCACAGAATCTCAAATCTCCTGAATTACAACTAAGAACCATGCTAACTTGCAATGCCAAAGTAATTTTTATCATCACACATCTTGTATATGTGGGTGACCTGCAAATTGGAAATAACTGGATTTAAATTTTCTTGTTAAAATAAGATAAACATTTAAAAATGAGATTATCAAGATAAAAAGTCATTCTAAGATTTATGACAGAGAAATCTGTGGCTTACATGTTGAAAGAGGATAGATTATTTTGCATTTCCGATAACTATTTTCCATTATATCCTGTGTATAATGATATGCACCAAGAAAAAGTCAGCTTTCTGTACATCTGTTTTTGCCCCTGACTTTGGCATAAAGTCAGTGAAGTGGGGGTGATGGAGGCAGTTTTTGATGCAACTTCCCCATTGAAGAAATAAGCAAATCCTTAGAGATAAGGCAAAGACAGCAAGGTCAACTAGAAATGGGCTATGTATATTTCAGAAAAGAATGCTGTCAAGCGCATACTCTGTTACGAGGCTGTCAATCAGGAATAATCCCAGGATAGCTCTGCTGAACACTTGGAAAGCTCCTGCCATCATTTATTCTTTCATTGCCAGATCTAATTATGTCCTTGCTTCCTCAGGATGAGAAACAGGCATCTGGGAAAGGTGTAATTACATTCCCGTTGGTAGTGTAATAATATTCCATGACAAAAAAATATAGCCACCATGTGTTGTATTTTGTAAGTTAGAAAAAAGAATTCCAAGCTTCTGGGATTACTCTCTGACTAAACTTGAAAAATGAAAAATTTCTCTATGTAATATTCTTAATGGCTTATTGCAGAAATACCAACTTAGTTTAAGCAGTAGAAAACCATGTTTTATGAAAAGATGAAGACTTTTAAACGGAATTAAAGATTTAATATGGCTTTCCTTCTCTAACGAATGATGGTTATTTCTGTTTTGGCCATTGTTTTATTTATTTTTTTACATGCAAAAATAAAATTTACTACAAAGAAATAAAAAAAGAGCCTTCACTCTATATTGAAATAATCCTGGAATTTTACTTAAAATTTGTAAAACAACACTTGCTTTTCAGAAAGAGATGAGAGAATAATAGAACATTCCCATAGTCATTCTCCTCAAAAGTTGATCTACCTGAATCTCCAGACTCTCTTGGTATCATATTTTATGCTAGTGTGGTTGGCTTTTAAACTTTGAGTTCTTGTTCTTGTTAACAGATTGAGGATGCCTTGAAAGCAGCAGACACCATTGGCTACCCAGTGATGATCCGTTCTGCCTATGCCCTGGGTGGGTTAGGCTCAGGCATCTGTCCTAATAAAGAAACCTTAGTGGACCTCAGCACAAAGGTATGTATGTTCATAGACCAAAATCTTAACAACCAAGGAACTGACTTGACATACCCTTTCAATTAGAGAAAGTTATGTAGACAAAAACAACCTTTTCTCTATTTATTAAATCACTGTCATATTCTCTGAAAGTGTTCTCCAAAAGATGACGCCTTTGAAAAGGAAATACAGTGCAATGATTTATTTTGGAACCTGGTGTTAAGCCAGGTAGTCCTAGGTAAACTGGTGGTGACTCTACCTAAAGGTCAGTCTTTATCATCCTGCCTATTGATTTCAGTGCTATGGAGTCAATCCAATCCCACCTTCTGCTTGAAAATCTGTTCCAAAACACCCATAATGCCAAAATATATTTTAGTGGTTAAAAAAACTGGAATATAATGTTCCTTTTTTAAAAATTAGTTTTAAAAATAATATGATATGAATGACATCCAGTAAGTGATGCAAAACATACTGAGTTGTTTAACTTGACCTCAAACTCAGGTGTTTAAATATATTTAGTATAAACACCTCTTAATAACACAAACAAGTGAACTCTCCGCCAACTTCCATACATATACAAGCAAAGTGACATTTGAGTGTTTATAATTTATTTCTATCAAAGTCACTTTAACATATGACTGACTACTTCTTAAGTATTAAAGGGAACATTTGGAGAATGTTAAGATATGGTCCAAAATACAAATTAGAGATGAACCCGGAAAACAAGCTTTATAAAACAGTTTTGCCCATACTCTATTCCCACAGCAGAGCACAGTGCCAGTGGTCCCAGGGCTTGTTGAATGGATGTGCGTATGTGCAGCCAAGAGGCCCGTGTAACTCACGTGGCTGTCGTGCACGAGAATTTTTGTGATCTTATTTTGGGGAGTGCTGAGTAAAGAGCCCAAACACAGCTTATAGCTTCATCATTATTTACTTTTGGAGTGACACAAAATGAGGCCCTTCAATTGTTGACAAAGGATTTTGAGAAAAAAATTAATTAAATTCAATACACTCAAATAACTATGATGACAAACTTACACATCAATAGCTTGGATTTATATTTTCTAATGTTGCCAAAATGAACCAAAAGAGGAGAAGCATATCTCATACAAATGTTTCTTGTTTCCATTCTGGACTTCTGAGTCATGTATTTAAAGAAGAAACATGTTTATGGAGGTATAAAATTTTTTTCCCTCTAGCATATTAGATATTCCCAAAGTTTTCAATATTAGCAGTTTCATTATTAATGCCAATAGTGACAATGTGTATTTATTGTCTATTAAAATATGTACTTTTTACAGTATAGAAACATCCTGGATACCAAATTGTCTAAAACTGTTTACTAATAAAGACAATTTTGGAATGGGATAATTTTTTATTATTTATATTCCTCCAAAATAATCAATTGAATGGTGTTCTTTGTTGAAAATCTGGCTTCTCTCTTAAGAACAATTACTTGTGTCATTATTTCCTAAACTACCCCTATTCTCTTGAGGTTATATTTAGCACTATAAGAAACTGCATTAACTCAACTGGGTCCCTAAACCAATGTTTTGTTTAAAATATGAAATTAAAAAAAAAAAAAAGAAGAAGTTGAGACATCCGTTGAAGATGATGTCCATTGGCCTCCTGTCCAAATATTCAGTCTACTTCACCGGAATGCAAAGAGCTTTCCCAAACTCATACCCTTTGTTTCCCAGGTTTCTCTTTTATCAGGCAATTCTAACAACAAATTCATCACTATTAAATTGTTAACACCGGCTCCAGGGTTTCCTGACCACTTCTAAAACCTCATCGTGGGCAGCTGTGGGGACTGATGCTGGACCCTGTGGTGCTGACTGAGGTTAAGAAAACAGTGTTGAGACACATTACGGACAAACTTACATTGAGTTATTTCATTTTACTGCCTCTTAATAACTTGAAACAATTTACTTTTCCCAGCTGATTTCTCTTCTTTTCACTGCCATCACAAATCAGCTGTATTAAGGGACAAAGGACATTTCTACCTTGGATTTCAGCCACCAAATGTCCTGAGGTCAGAGGCTGCCTCTTTCATATTTTGAGTTCAGTTCTACCTACCAGTGGGTACCCAGTAAATATGAAATGATGATTATACTAATTCATATCTGTTTAATCAGGCATACATGATATATGACTCAGAGTACTTAATCACTTAGGCAGTGATTAACCATAATAATAGTTGCATATGATTCTTCTAATCCCCAAGTTTCGTATGCCATCTTGGCTAACTGTTTACAACCATCATCATCTCCTTTCTTCTCCTCATCAACATCAACTGACTTTTATTGTGTATGTCACTGTACGAAGCACTCTCGGCTATTTTGGAGAAAGCCAGAGTCGTTAGGCTTATGTTTCTATATTTATTCACACTTATCACATTTTCTGGTTTCACAGAAGCCTGGCTGCTGAAATAATTTCATTTCCCTCTGCCTGATTGCTCAATTATTTTCTCTTTTTCCCAAATTAGTTTGATTTAATGTCATATCAGCACTTTGAATGGCAAGCCTCAATAATGTAAATCAAGCACATTCACTGCGGGATGCTATTCCTAGCACCTCGCTGATTTTCTGACACGTTGTGCCTGCTGGAGAGTAGAGGAGGATGGAGACTAGCCTGAGACTTCAGGGCTGGCCGGGATTTAAGCCACGACATTTTGTCAAATACTCATGTTTAAATCAGTGCCTTTTCTTACTCTTTGGTATTTGTTTGTTGCCGATTTTCAGGCCTTTGCTATGACCAACCAGATCCTGGTGGAGAGGTCAGTGACAGGTTGGAAAGAAATAGAATATGAAGTTGTCCGAGATGCTGATGACAATTGTGTCACTGTGTGTAACATGGAAAATGTTGATGCCATGGGCGTTCATACAGGTAGGCAAATAATCTTCAAGAATCATAGCAGTGCCTTCAGCTCGTGTCTCTGATAGCCCATAGCAGACTTTAGTAAGTCCTTTTCTTTACATTACCATTCTTAGCTGACAGACCAGTGATACACTTATATATATATATAGTATTTTATGGTATTGAAAATACTCTCACACTTAATTTGATCTTTACAAAAATTCTATGAAGTACGACAGGAATTATTTTTCTGATGTCACTTGAGGAAAACATCAAAAAAAAGCAATGTGGTGGAGGTGAAATTGATAAGACTTGGTGTTGAGAAGTAAGGAGTGAGGTTATGAAGACTTAAAGCAGACTGGGGTGTTTGTCACCTAGTGAATGAAAAAATAGCCACAAGTAATAGAAACAGGTTTCTCAGGAAGGGAAACTAATTAGACTAGAGGATGTAGATGATGATTTAGGATTTAGAAATGCTAAATTTGAGGTATGTGTGAAACTCTCAGGAAGAGGGTTAAGAATATGGAATTAGAATTCAAGAGCAGGATAGAAATAAAGAAGTTGATATAAAGTCTTTGAAAGTCATTGGTGTACAAGTAATAATTGAAGCTGGAGACATTTACTAAGTATTCAAGGGTAGAGGCATAGAAAGAAAGAGAATGGGGTCAAGGGCTTTACCTTGGAAAACATTGAGATTTTGCAGGGCAAGAGAAAGAGGAAGGATTAGTGTTGAATAAAAAGAAGAGAGTGATGGGAAGACAAGCAGGTGTGTACAGTATCAAGTAAGCCAATGTAAGAAAATATTTCATAAAAGAGCTTTGTTTGGGGCTGTATTAAGTGCCATGAAAGGTTAAGAATGAGGTTTTAATATGGTTTTGGATGATCAAGAGGACAGTTTCTGGAGTTATATGACAATGCATGATAAGTAGAATTGGTAGAGTTTCAAGAAGTTTAGTCTTGTAAAGAATGAGAGATTGTTCTTGTGATTATCTGGCAATGTTGGGGGAGCGTCTTGCAGAGATCTGGCATGTTTGCAGGCAGATGGGATGGTGATTGAGGACTAAGAGATTAAAGATACAAGGGACTATGATTGAAGAGGAGTGAGAAAATGGGAAGGGGTGAGATACTGAAACAGGTGGATAAACCCATCTGAGTGAAGGGGAGATGATATTTTATGGGAAGAAGAACTTGAGAGAGAGATCATTTGAGATGAAGAGAAAGGAAATTGAAGAAGTTAATGTCAATCCAGTAAGTAGATGACTGAAGCCCTCACAGCTAGATGAGCTTGGGAAAGGTTAGAAGGGTTTCTGTAAATGTGTCAGAATAATACAGGTAAAACAAAAAACAGAGGAAAAAGTAACTGATGTGCCTTATATGTATTACCATAAGATAACTCATTCCCCTTAGACTGTCCTGTGTCTGGTATCCCACAAATAAATTAATGAGTGCTGCTTGGATGTACAGGTGATTCTGTTGTTGTGGCTCCTGCCCAGACACTCTCCAATGCGGAGTTTCAGATGTTGAGACGCACCTCAGTCAACGTCGTTCGCCACTTGGGCATCGTGGGTGAATGCAACATTCAGTTTGCCCTTCATCCGACCTCAATGGAATACTGCATCATTGAAGTGAATGCCAGACTGTCCCGAAGCTCTGCCCTGGCCTCAAAGGCCACTGGGTAAGGCCTGAATGCTCCACCATGGGCTTGCGGATTCTTCCCAGAGAGAACTGGAAAACTGACAGCTCGTGAAGACTGTGCTCCCTTTACAAACAATGGTCCCCATTTCTGTATGCTGGCTCCAAATCAGTTAGGACCCTAAGGACATGGTTATTAATGAGCTTGCTGCCAGATTGAGGCAAATGGTATTGCTAGCTGGCTTTGTTTGCTGGCTAATCATAAACTAATAAAAATCTGGGTGGTCAAAGTAGGCTGAGAAAAATCTGCTTTTTAATTGCACTTTGCAGATGTTGTTAAAAAGTGCAAATTAATCTCAATTTTAGTTCTCAACTGGCTTTTTCAGGTGTAGCAAATGGTAGACAAATAACACAGTTCATTTGACTGAATTATTCAATAGACATTATTTTATTTTAGCAGAACTCCACAAGACCAAACAATGTAGAGTTTTTATGTAGGTAAATGTTGGCACCACATAAATAAATTTGCTATCTATTTAACAATGATGGCAAGCATAATCCGAGGAAATATTAATTAATACCTTTTCTTTCTATTAATATATTTAACAACTGGCATTTAAGTTACATGGCATTTAAATGAACAAAATATTTACCTCTAAAGATCTTTTTATGTAGCTACACAGTGTGTATGGACTCGTGGAAGGCATGTTGCCGCGGGCAAGATTCAGGAGACCCGAGTTCTCTTGCTGGTTCTTTGATTGTCCATGAGACTTTGGACACATCACTCATTGTCTCTTTAAGTCTCTTCACCTGTTAGATGGTTGAATTGTACTAAAAGATTCATAAGTAGTTCTATAGTTTTATGAATTATTTTATAAGATATAATGACCAAAATTGACATTCCAGAGGAAGATAGTCTAGTTTCCAGAGTGACAGTTTGGTAGGAAACCCAAAGTTCAAAGATAATTTGGAGATAAAGCAAGGACCTAAACTTGCAATGCCTACATTTTCTGACTAGTACATACCCCATAGTATCAGCGAACTCCACTGTCTTCTCAGGTGTAGACATGTATGTATTGTGGAGGTTTTACACAAGGGGGCACTTTATCCAGCAAGGTACTGATTTGGGGTTGAAGAGGTGTAGGTTGAGGGCTGTAGCACTGCATGTCAGACATCGAGTATGAATTCTTCTGGGATCTGTGCCTCTATACTTTATCATGACTCACATTATTTCATAAGTGACTGTTGACTATTCATCCCGAATGTGGAATCACGTGTGTTCTATACCCTGATGTAGAATAATACTAACATTTCGAAGAAGGACCAATTTATGTTTTTGTCTGTTTTTAATACTTATTGCTGAAAGAAACAAGTAAATTCATCTCTTCCTTGATAGCTACCCATTGGCATTCATTGCTGCAAAGATTGCCCTAGGAATCCCACTTCCAGAAATCAAGAATGTCGTATCAGGGAAGACCTCAGCCTGCTTTGAACCTAGCCTGGATTACATGGTTACTAAGATTCCTCGCTGGGATCTTGATCGTTTCCATGGAACATCAAGCCGAATTGGTAGCTCTATGAAGAGTGTAGGAGAGGTGAGTCCTTGGTTTCTTTCTTTATTTCATTCGTGTTCTCAGTTATTTTGTCTAATTTTTAACATCGTTGAAAGTTCTAAGGTTGCCTGGACAGTGGACTGATTATTAATTGAAGGATATATAGGACTTTCATTTCCTCCCTAGCATTTCACTGTCAGACTGTTAACATGAGGCATTTGTTGCATGCCATTTAATGGATTCTGAGAGCATCTAAATATTCTAATATTCTAAGAGCATTCAAAAGGAGAGGCTATATATGTAGGTATATAATACATACACATGTATGAAAACATTTATATTTATACAACTGAATTATAATATATTTAATAACCAGATCACAAAGATAATATTACATAAAAGATTTCATGGTGTACCAAAAACACCACTGAACTGCGGCTAAGAATTCAACTTCCTTCCATGTAAATTGTGGCTATAATCCCTGTGGACCTCACTTTCCACATCTGTAAAAGAACGAAGTGGGAGTGGAAGATCCTCATGGCCCTTCTAGCTCTAAAATGCTAAGTCGAGATGAGCACAGTAGAATATTAAGCCCCTTATATTATACTGAAATATTCTAAGTTTCGAGCACCCTTCAATTTTACATAATGTTCTATTTTACATTAAAATTAGTTTTTGGTTATTCCCTCTTCAAAGTAGCAGTGCTCCTTGTGCAGGAAGAAACAAAGGGATTCAGATCCCTACCTCTGAGATCCGCTCTCTTGCCACCCCCACCAAGGGCTGTATTTCTCTTTGCACCCAGGAGGCTTGGCACAGTAGAGAGAATATGAATCTTGGAACCAGATGAACCTGGGTTTTACTCTTGGTGTTGTCACTTACTAGCTGGACACACTCAGGCAAAAACACTGAGCCTCAGATTCTTATAAGGTTTAGGATTGACACATGTAAATGTTCAGTAATAACTTTTAAGGTAGATTCATAGCATTCTCAATAAATGTAATGGCATTCATATTATTGTCATTGTTTATGGGTAGAACTTTTGAATACCAGCAGTATGCACAAATCTCAAAATTTGTATCTGTCTTTCTGTTTTACTTTATCTCACGTCTATCTCTATATGGTCAACGTAGGGGTTCTTAGTGTATGTCTAGGTATCTAAGCCAGTTAGATTACAGAGCAAAAAATCTATTTATGGCCTACTGTTTCATGTTGGCCTTTATTTTTTCCATGACACTGATTATAGCCTAAACTCAGTCTAGTCATTTTAGAAGTGCATGTCACTAATCATAGGAAATACAGCTTAAATCCATCATCAATGCAGGGGAAGAGAAAAAAAAAAAAGTGACATTTTACTGATCAATCATATTAACATGTGAAAAGCAGAACTATTACTGTTTTGGTTTCCTTAATTTCCAAGATATTAATGGAAGATATTAAAGTGATGACAGATAAGGAACAACTTGACCTTTCAAGTGAAAATGTCTTACTAGTTGTAAAGGACAAGTAGAGTTTTTCTTCCTTCATAGTTGTTTTAAATCTTTTTTTCTTTTTTAAATTTTCACTGGAGGATATTTTTCTATTTCTATTCAGATAGAGTGGGAGGGAGGGAGAGAGAAGAAGAAAGAGGGAGAGAAAAAGAAATATCGACATGAGAGGGACACATAGACTGGTTGCCTCCCGCACAACCTCGACCAGGGCCAAGGATGAACCACAACCGAGTGTTATGCCCTTGACTGGAATCAAACCTGTGACTCACTGGTCTGTGGGCCGATGCTCTAACTGCTGAGCCAGACTGGCCAGGGCTTAAGTTTTATTTTTTCTGTTATGCTTCAAGGTACACAATAGAATTAGAACTCAAATGCTATGAAAAGTATTGTTGGTAGTGTTTCTGCCAAAAAAATAAAAATAAACACCTGTTATTTAGTTTGCAGGTTGTGTGAAGTGGCCCTTTTCATAATGTTTATAGCAAAATTTGTAGGGCAAAGAATATTAGATAACTTTGTAATATTTTCATTTAAGGCTTATTGTCTGAGGGATTTTTGTTGTCAGTTAATTTTAACATTTAGTTCAACTCAAGTTAGTAAACATTTCCTGAGGGCTTACTACATGCAGGCGCTGGGAGGGTAACACAGTGAGTAAGATGATAACGGTGATACATTACCTGTAGTTGGTAAATTCAGAATATATAAGCTGGGCCAAATATAATATGAATTAAACTGTGTAAATGTTTAAATACAGCCTTTATATACAGGTGCTGTTTGAATGTAGTAGAATATGGTAAGGGAAAGCCAAGATAGTTATTCTACTAAAAATGGTGAAAATTTCACTTAATGAATATGAATTTTAACAATATGAAGTATTAAAAAGCACAATTTTTGAACAAACACAGTTGTATATCCCTGTATTAATATATAGGTAAGTTTGCTTTCTATTTTATTGCATTTATTCCATATACCATTATGTACAGTGGACTTAAATAATATTTAAAATTATAGTGTCGAGTCACACTTATAGAACTACTTTATAGGGCCAACTCTTAAATATGTAATACTTACAAATTTTATTAAATATTTCAAACATATTTTCTTAATTTGATGGTAGCATAAAACATATATGGCAGTCTCTTTCCCGTGTCTAAGTGAGCAGATCTTTGAACATATTGTCTAACTCTTCAAATACCACTATGCCTTGCAAATTGCATATCTGATTTGGACTAAGATTTTATTTATTCCCACTCTGGAGAATCTTCCCTTATTTCTAATTAAATTTGGAGCAGTGTGGAAAGGTTATCTGTTTTGCTTTAGTGATCTCTGAATATGTATCTTGTCACACATCGACATGAAGATCTACTAAACTGATATTCATTGTAATTCAGGACTATTTGAGGAATCATGGAAGTTTACTGACGGCAGCATTATGACTGTTATTATTTTAAATTGGTGACCAAAAATGCATAGCAATCTATTATACCATGGAAAGATTCAAAGATAGTGTTTATCCACTGAAAATAACTTGGTAGGCTTCAAAGTCAATATAAGTTTAGTTCTGACTTGTAACTTATTCAACTAAATCACTACATTGTTTTTCTAATTGATTAGTGTACAATCAGCTGTAAAGATTGTGGGAAGACACATTGAATTTGTCATGGAGAATTTAATCTCCACCTACTCTCAAAATCTGAATCTGTCAGTATTTTTTATGATTCTCAAGATTCTATTAATATTAATGCTTAGCTATAAAGAAAGCCGACCTGTCTTGGATACTGACTGACATCTATTTGGAAATTGTTCTGTTTATGGGTTCACGTATGCCTGGTTTCTCTTTGTTTGCTTTCTCTTCGAAAAGATCTGCACAAAAGCAAGATCTTACTCAGGAAGGGCCTGCATGCTCTGGCCACACAGTCCTGATCTTAATACGATGGTCAGGAGCAGGTGCAGGGAATTTCCTCATCAGTCTCAGCAAATATAGCTAAATTCTCTAAGTGGTAAAAGACTGATGTAATGTTGAAGACTTTATATCAAAATCATGGCGAAAAGGAGAAAAGAAAATTAAAACCTAAATGTGAATAGTGTTCTGATATATGTTTTATACCTGTCTTTTTTGAAAGGTATTTTTTTTTTTCCAGTTCTGTTGCAAATTAGAAACAAATCAACCCTTTCTTTAAATATGAGCTCTTACATGTGTGTTGCAGGTCATGGCTATTGGCCGCACCTTTGAGGAGAGCTTCCAGAAGGCCCTCCGGATGTGCCACCCATCCATAGATGGTTTCACTTCCCGCCTCCCAATGAACAAAGACTGGCCTTCGAACCTAGATCTCAAAAGAGAGCTGTCGGATCCATCCAGCACCCGCATCTATGCCATTGCCAAGGTAACGTGACAAAGGGCCCAGAGCCGCTCTTTTTTCAGAATATAGATGGCCTGAACGTAACAGTAAGACTCAGTCACAGGGGATCTTGAACTCAGGAGTTTGGGGAACATTTTTAATTCTCTTTAAATTGGAAATTTTCTATGGATTTTATCAGATTATTCTGTAATTAAGAAAAAACTACCCTGTTTTATTTTACTTTAAGCCTGGATTTAAGAACACACTGCAGTTTTAAGGGATGATCACATAGATAAAATGTTTCACCCTTTTAGTGTACATAGTATCACTACCCTGAAGTAGATTTGATCATATTGACTTCTCATTTCCTGTCACTCTCATTACTTGTTCCTTGACAACATGTAAAATTATATTTTAGCAGGTGTATAAAATAGTATCACTTAGTATGGGTTGCTTAAACTCTAGAATACTCTTTATTTGTATACTTCTTTTTCTGTGTTTCAAAACCAAGAACAGACTGTAAAGAACGCCCATGATTATAGGCTTTCCCTGTGTAATTCTTTCACTGGTCTTACTTTTAGAACAAAAAAGCCCCACACTTCTCACTTCCACTCCCCAGGTCCCTTTTATGCAAATTAAATGCCCTATTCATCTCCTTTCATGTTTACTATGCTTAGAGTTTTGAAGTTTCAGCTTACCTGATTTTATGAAAGGTGACTTGGGCAGCTGCGATCTGTCTGGACAGAAATCCCTACATGGCTTTGTGACATTTAAGGAAGCTTAGGCACTAATCCTCCAACAGTGTCAACCCACCCTGGAGCCGCCAAGGCCTGCTGACCATCTTCTGTGTGCACGTGCCAATGGGGGACCAGTCGATGAAAAAGGGAATCAGTTTTTGTAATTTGTCGTTGCTGCAACAGCAAAATGCTGTTCGTATTCTGAATTCACGGCACCTTTTATGTCCATACATTGAGAGTCCTGCAGAGAGGAAAGGAGGAGGGGCATGTTTTCTTTGTTGCGTATAATGTATACTTTTCTCAACTTTATCGTTTCTAAAGGGAGCCTACTTCATTCCCATTGAAATTCTGAGAGGTACTAATATCTTTTGATGAACATGTCTCAGTGTGGAATTTCAAGGCAATAGGGAATTAACATTTTTCTGTGTTGGGGGGGGGATAGTAATGAAGAGAGGTTAAGGCTAGAAAGCCATGCCACCCTCTTTATTGTTTTGATATCAGTCTTTTGTTTAAAAAGCAGTCTACTGCATTCATATGTGTCTGTATATGTCTATGTACATATAATTTTTCTCAGACAATGGACAGTCAATGGATTTTTTTTTTTTTTCTTAAGTCTGGTTATGCTTCTGCCGTTTTGAGGCGGATGAAAAAGGCAAGTATTTCCAAATTCCCAGCCGGGCTGTAAAACTCAAGCAAACCTCTCGTCCTTTTCTAACAGACTTATAAAGGATGAGAATTCAGGGGGAAATGTGTGGAGATTCTTTCTTGTACAAAGTACCCGATGTTCAAGCAAGAAGTGCGGGGTCTGTGGTATAAATTACTGTCTGCCAGAGTGCCGGGAGAAGGGAGTGATTTCTGTTTGTTAGAGGTCATCATTACTGTTCATTTCCACAGCAACCAAACACTTGGTGATTTTGACAAAGAGTGTAAGAACTGTGGAGGGCTGAAGGGGAGGAAGAATGAAGGGAATGCGTAAATCTTAGCTTGCTTTCATGATTCTCAGAAAAGGGCACCTTGCTCGGAGGTCTGATTTTTGCAGCAGTCTTATTTCAGGATGACTGGATCATCACCTATTTTGATTTGAGGAGAACACAGGGCATTATTTTTGATTTGATCAACGTGAGAGTCACCTCAAACTTGTTTGGGGTCATTATGAACTTCATAATAGCTGTATGGTGTGGAAAGCCACCGTGCTTGAAGAAGTCCCAGAACGAGCAGGATCTTGCTTCCTTGTTCAAAACTGCATATGTGCCCTGGCCAGTTTGACTCAGCGGTTAGAGTGTCAGCCTGCGGTCCAGAGAGACCCGGGTTCGGTTCCCGCTAAGGGCATGTACCTTGGTTGCGGTTTGTCCCCGGCCCTGGTTGGGCAGTGCAGGTGGTAACCACTCGATATGTCCCTTTCAAGTCGATGTTTCTCTCTCTCTCTCTCTCTCTCTCTCTCTCTCTCTCTCCTTCCCTCCCACTCTAGCTGAACAAAAAATGGAAAAATGTCCTCTGGTGAGGATGAAAACAAAAACAAACAAATAAAAAAACTGCAGATGTGACTGTGTTTGTCCTTCCTCAAAGTGGCATGACTATAGGATTCTAGGTCCTCCGTCATCACAAGGGATCACTGCTGTGTGATTGTGGGCAAACACCCTCTGGTCTGTCAAAAGTAGCTTCAGGTTCTACCCTCCTTATAGTGTTGATGGCCAACAGCTAATTGTGCTTTAATCACTTGGAAAATAGGATAGAACAGTGAGATCTTGGGAATCTGGCTGTAATTATATGAATAATTATACTTATGGAATGAACATGCCTTTGAGTACTCCCATTAGATGCCACTTTATTTCTGTCAACAGAATTATGAACTGTACTATCTCTCAGCACAAATTATGGACTCTCTGATACTAGAAATAAGTAAAAGTTTTAAGAAAATTAGGATGCCTGGGTTGAAATATACAACAGAGTTGCTAGTTACATATATTTACTAATGGGATTTAAAAATATAACGTGCCATTCTAACATATTTTGTTTTGGAATATTATCTGATTATTTATATTGGGTGTAAATATATATCTAAAAATCGTAAAAAATAAGAGTAGAGATCTCTTGAATATGAACGTTTTGGTTTTGAGAGTTTATCTTTTTATTCGGTTGCCTTTTCTATGTAGTCTAATGACCCACGTTGGGATTTTACTTTTGAGAAATTGCTAAAGTAAGCTTCCGAGAAAGACCTGCAGTTATTACTACACTGTTATGAAATATATTAAGATTTTGTAAAATGTCTTCCTCAGTGCAAAAGTCAAAGCAACTGATTCAAAATAATTTTTTTTGTTTGAAATCCTTTATAAGGGTATATTTTAGGGAAATAACACCAAGCCAGATTTGACCCATACATTCTTACTGGCTAGTCTATATGCATGTGGAATGAGGTGATACAGGACGCTATTTGCTAAAGCGTAATTGTCCAAAATACAAGTCAAATGATCATAATGATTCTAGATTTTCTTACCAAGTTGGCTTAACTGTAATTCCAAGAGATTCCCTTTCATTCCAAAGACATGTCCCAAATTTAGGATATAATTGCTAAAATAGTCATATTAAGAGCAGGAAGCAGAGCCCATTAGGGAGATTCTTCTGAGCACATACCTCTCGGAGGAACTCAGAACACCTCCTTCGTATGTCACTGTGGGAAGAGTTGGCAGTATCTGTAGTGATTTTGGGAGCAACGTCAATGATATGATAACAGTTTCATGTTTTATGTCTCCATCTATAGCCTCAGGCTCTCTGAGGAACAAGGAGAGGGGTGGCTGCTCTTTGTTTTCAACCAAATAGAACATTTATAAAATGTTTGCCAAAAAAAGTATCTCTATTCCTTTTGGCAGGCTCTGGAAGACAACATGTCCCTTGATGAGGTTATGAAGCTCACAGCCATTGACAAATGGTTTTTGTATAAGATGCGTGACATTTTAAACATGGAAAAGACATTGAAAGGACTCAACAGGTAAGGTACCTTGGCTCTGTTTCACTCTGGTTGTCTCCTGTGCAATTTTCACATAGTCTTTCTCTTACCCTTAAGCATTTGGCCAAAATTCTGCTTCAATAAGGTAAATAGTGCAAGGTTGGAAAGAGGTAGCCATAGCCAGAAGAAATGGCAGGTTTTAGATGTTTACCTATTAGAAGGTACCTATTCATATGTGAACCGTCTCCTACCCCCATCTTTGCCATCAAACATAATGATGTTTTTATTAGGTATTTTGAATGTATGAAAATCAATGTATGTTTATGATATCATGTGCTACTTAACTACTAAACATTACTAAGGGCTTAAATGTGAGTAATCAGTAGAGTAATATTCCTGTTTTCTATACATTTTCTGAAGTCTAAAAGCTATTTTCCTCTTTTAATGTCAACCCATACATTGGTGTATATTGATGAGCAAATGTATTTCTCGTGTAGTTTACTGATATTTTTAACATTAGGACTTCTAGGTCAGCCTACATTCCAGTCTCTGTTAAAAGATTCTATACCTATCACTAATGTACATTTTTACCTCCTTCACGGTCAATTATTTTTAACATTTAATGTTCAGAATATTCTGATAATGTCAGTGCTTTAAAATATATATATATTTTATTTTCTGAGGAAATACCATTTGTTGGAGCACCTCAAGTTTATGAAATTGCGAAGAGGTCTTAAAAATGTATTTTTGATAAGAGAAATGTTGATTACTGATTTAAGGAACATAGCACGATCCTCTTCAGCTTCTTTCCTTTCAGGGAGCTCTGAAATGCACCGGAAAGACCCCTCACCCACAAGCATATGTTTAGAGAGGGAAAACATTTTGCCTGAGTAAATTGTTCTCAAATGATTTGAGAACATGTAGAAAAAGTCATCAGTAAAAACGTGGTTGAGGTCGGTGGAAGATCTCAAAGCCTTCATTTCTCAACTCTTTAGCAACCAGCCTAGATCGGAGTTGCTGTGTTTACTTAAACAAGATGCATACAACCTGGGCACTAAAAACACTTGCTTTTCTTTTTGAGCCAAATGAGGCTCTTTTTCACCTATTCAACAATTGCCCACAACAAATGCTTGGTTTTGACAAGTGGCAATTCCGATCTTGCTTGTAAGCGTTCTTCCCAGTGATCACAAAAAATGAACAGTAGATAGCAAAGAAGTTTAGAATTGAGCCTGTCCATTCATTTTAGAATTTTGCTGACCTGTGGTTTCCTTTCTGGGTTTGTGGTGCCAGCAGAACTTCCATGTTGAATTACAGTCGGTTCCACTGTTTTCAGTGTCAGACAGCTGATTTCAGTCGCTATAAAACTGCTGTGATGAAACCACTTGAGGGTGCTAGAAACTTACAGTATGCCAGTTGTGGCACTGGAGGAGACTTGGGGTGAAAAACAGCAGATGTTATTGTGATTTAAATTTCCACTTGGTAAACACTCTAAATTTTAGACAAATTCGATGTTTTAATTGAATAGCTTTTGTTACAACCAGAAGGCAGGTTGAAATTCTGGCTAAGCAGAAATAAGTGTATATTGATAGTGAACTAGGTCCTCGGGGGATTAGAATAAGTCACTGTTACAGGTCACGTATCTTCCTGACTTCCACATCATGTTTGCATCTATTTGCTGAGAATTTGACATATTCAGTCTTCATTTTCTTGCATAGGTATATTTGTAAATAGAGAGATTTTCTATTGTTCATAATTATGTGCATTAAACACTTATATAAAGCTTTTAATAATTTAAAAGATTCTAAAAAACTATACTTGCAATTATCTCAACAGATGATTCATGGTATTAGTAAACTTAAACTCTGAATTCATTATTTGAGTGATGCTTCACTGTTTAATTCATTCTTTCTGGGGTGTCATGCATGCACAAATAGCTATTTGATAATGGTTGTTATTTAGATGTGTTGGATAAATGAAGTAAAAATAGATGGCCACTTAAGCTACCTGTTTCAATCACTCTGTGGCACGTAGGGGTCTGAAGTTGAAAGCATATTGCAGCTGATATCATGCATGTAAGACTTGAGTGTTCTTGCCCTATTTTGATTATCTTCATCATTATCATCTTCTGCTTTTATGGATTATGATATCTGCTTCCTCTCAGCCTCTAAATATCCAGGGAGGCTTAGTCATTGAGGCATATATGGTTCCAACAATAACAGTAGCTCTCTAGTAACAGTTGGCGTTATATGGATGAATTATGTGTTGCCAGTTTGGAGATAGGTTAAGAAGACCACTTGTTCTTTTTCATTTGCATTTATTTGTCATTCACTTTGTTTCAAGCTCTCATCTTCTTCTATGTTGGAAAGGTTGGCTTTAGGCATAGGCCCAGGAGGTAGCAATTTATTTGGTAGGATTTGAGAGATTCCCCAAAATCACTTGCTTCAACATATCTCTGGTGCCAATGTGCCAGGTCTCTTTGCACTTAGGTTCCTAAGAAAATAGGCATTGGGGATCTCAAATGGGAGAAAAGAAGAAACATAATGAGAGGATAAAATATAGAGACTAGAGATGGGTTACGTTCCACCCGGTTCCTTCCTTGTGTGTTGGAAGGAGCACAGGCTATGGAACCAGTCAGACACGTGTGCAGTCTTACCCATCATGGAGCCATGGGTACCTTATCTCCCTCACTTCTCCAGCCTCACAGTCTTCCTGCTAATGTCTGCTTTGTAGTCTGTGGGTCTTAAATGACATACATGTAAAGGAAACCTGGCACATAATGAGTGCCCAAGAAAGTTTTCCTCTCTCCCTCTGGAAATGCTGCTTATTATAATGAAGACTATTCTGAGATTTTAGATATATGCATTTAAAGACTCATTTTCAGAGTCACAATTTGCATTTGCTTATATATTTTGCAATGTATAATTTTTTAATCTTCTTTATCATGCATTGTCACTTATTTTAATACCAGACTACCTTTTCTTTTTATAAAGGCAGAAATGGTAGCTAGTGATACAAATTCTACCTTTATCAAAAGATCAATAATACTCAACTATGCTAATCAACAAAAATTCCTACTTTATAGTTATTAATCGTGGTAAAATTTCATTCAATATTTAATAAATACATTCACTAGTAGAAGATGAGAGTATCACTCAAAATGATGGCCAGTTTAAACTTGTATTTACATCTAGTCATCTGAAATGAAGTCTAGAGCTTGATGCTCAAATTGAATATACCCATATATTTAGTATATATGTTAATGTCCACTGACTGAAATGGGGAAAACAAAACAAATTGCAGCAAGGCCAGCATTAAGAAAAAAACAGATGAGTTTTCCATGCATTAGAGGAAGTGAAAATTACAGTAACTAATCCCGTGCCTTAAAGGGCGGAGATAAACATGTATTATGCTGAAGATGATGAAGGAAATCTCAGTCTTCTTCAGGGTGATGAAACAAATTAGATGATTGTTGGAATAATCTACTTAGCATACTGGCTTTGACTGTTCGCTCCCATCAGAACTCAATTTGCCATCTTCAGTACATGAGCATAGCAATGGCGACCCTCACGAGACTTCCAGAGAAACATCCATTCTTACTGGCTTAGGTAATAAACATTATTCAGACAGCTTCAGCAAAAAGCTCTCTCTCCTCACTTGAGTTCATTGACTTTCTCCTTTTCTACTTAAATTGTTTATGGCTACCCAAGGCATGCTAGGAAAGTTGACTGTTTCAGGCTGTTCCCAAATTTATAACCTGATGTAGTAGCATCAATTGACCTAGAGAGATAATATATTTTATAGTGGATTTCTTTAGGTTTTGAAAAGTTTCTCTTTACTGAATGTGATGTGAGTTGTATCATGTAGGATTTCAAGGCTTATTATGTATATGCATTGGAATTTAGATGCTTCATCTATTAACTTCACGTTACCAGATCACTTTGCAAGGAATTTAAGAAAAGTTATCTGTCAGAATGTTTAGTGGAGCTGCATTTGCATAAGCCTATGCATTGGACTTCACCATCGAGCCAGCCAAACTTTAGTAAGCCTCTTTTCACCAGACCCAGCCAACACCAACTCTTTCACACATAAATGCTCCTTCTATATAGCATTTTCATTAATACGCACAGAAGAAAAATATGCTTATTTTCATCCATTAAAAACTACAAAAACTCACCTCCATTAGTACATTTAGGTTCAGTTTGGTTATGCAAATAAATCTGGCGTTGAAGGCAGAATTGCAAGTACCGTAAGTCAGATAAAGAAATATGTCAAATGCCTTCATCAATGAGGTCCTCCTGATATCGCTGATTCCCTAACATAACCAAATGATGTATTTATAACTCTGTTATCACAGAGACTTGAATTTTGATTCAATCAAACAATTCTGCGTGCCTTCCAAGAGTAATAATCACCAAATTTATTGACTACATATTAGGTACTGTTCCAAGCCCAATGTTTTATTTAATACTTACTACCACCTAAGGAAGGTAGTAATTATCCTCATTTTATAGGTGGTAAACAGAGGCACTTAGAGATTAGCAAATTCTTTGTTACCACATGCTAATAAATGACGGAATTGAGATCAAACCTCAGGACTACGGAGCCTAGGATATTTGATATTTAATCCCTATGTGATATATGTGTGTGCATGTGGATGTATGTGTGCACACATATATGTATGTTTAGGTGTGCAGAAAGGCAAATCATATATAACATCTGGAGGAAGTAAGACTACATGCAATAGAACTTGCAGTATAGGCACAGCAGTAAATAAAGGGATGATGGTTCTAGCACCATAGAATCTGCACCTATAATAAGGCTTCAGCTATATTAGTAATTAATAGACAAGCTCAGGTGCAAGGGTTTCTCAGCTGAACCCCTTTTGCTATTAGTAAGGAAGGAAGGCAACTATAATAAGGCTTGTTTGTGAGCAGGTACTATTTCAGGACATTATACCCTAGACATTTTTATTTATATCAAGTTGGATTAGCAATTTTAGTTTAAAAGGCAATCGTGATACTTAAAAAAATAAACATGAACAA